GGTCAGAGTATTTGGTTGAACTATTTCACTTCTTTCCCCAGTCTGAACCGCCAGTGGTATCGACTCAGCACTTCATTCCGATTCCACAACCGTTCCACCCTTTCACACGACCTGTCTGGGACTGCCAGTCCGGACTGTATCAATTGAGCCCCACCACCCCAACTGATCGACAGTCCGTCCTGGCAGAGTCCTATGGAGTGATCTCTGGGACATGGTGTAGGTGAATTCGCCAACAGCTCCACTTACTCATATTGCTGTGATGTTGTGACACTTCGCAAACGACCTGTACGTGTTGGATATTCTTCATATCTTCATGCCTTCTTGGGAAGAGCTTGCATCAAGACATAGCCTTATGCAGTGCCCAGGCATTCGTTCCTGCCACAATACAGTGAAGGCGCGTGTGTGGAGCCCTGGATGTGGAAGGGTTGTTGCCCTGAGGGAAAAAGGCAACCCCTGGATGTTCGTGGAAGGGCAACTCCTGCTATCATTTCGCTTGGGCATGTAAAAGGTCACCGGGGGGGTCAGAAGGGTCAGATTGAAGAAGCTGGCCTATGTTAAGCTTTAGTTGGTGTACTGAAATAGGGGGGTGGACCCATTCCAGTGACTGAAAGGGGGCGAACGGCGAACTGTTTGCGCGCAGTGTGCCGGAACTGTGGTTTGTTTCATTTCATCAATTCGCAATTGTTCTCTATTTTACCTCTATTTTGTTGACTCTCAGCAGTTTGAGAGTGGACAAAACTGCTATAGGACTCTTCTCTGCAACTTCCTTTCGCCGTGCAAGAAAGACACCACTAGAATCACCAACTCCCAAAACAGTTCTATGAGTTGTCTTGGATCTTCAACCAAAAACTTCTGGCAGTTTTGGCGTTGTCTTTTTTGTTGTGAGTCATGAGGAGTCATTCTTTTGGAGACCAAAGCTGCGGGTTCACGGTCAGACCCTGCAGACTTGGTTTGCAGGGGACTCGCAGTTGCTCTGTAGAAGCTCTGACACTTCGGTGTGACACGTTGGAGAAACCGACCCATCCGGGTCGCGGCGCCTCAGCTTCGCTCAGGCACGGACGCCTCAGCTTCGGGCCGCGAAGGCGACCGCGTCGCAGCCTCGAGGGACGAGCTCTTCACAAGGAGGGCGTGTGGCGGTGCCCACGCGATCTTTGGTCGGGAGACCAAGCAAAGGATCGATAATCCAAGTCCCAGACACTCCATGTATGGCATGTATGCCTACATTGGGGTGGTTTGGGGGGTCAATGTAGGCATATATGGCATACATGGAGCGTCTGGGAGTTGGAGTGATCAGGTGGTGCACCGAAACTCGGAGGCTGACGCCTTGGAAAGCACTTGAGGGGATGCATTTGGTTGACACGACTGGGGGTTTCATCTAGTGTGTCCTTTGAGCAGAGGGGTTCTGTTCTTCGTTTGGGAGCCCACGTCGTTTTGACGAAGAATGTCGTTGTCCTCTCAAGTCATGAGCTGAGTGCCAGTGAACTCACTCAGCTCACAGTTTTGTTCCTTTCAGCGGCAAGTCTCTCAGATGCCGTTTTCCTGTGAAGGGGGGCCGAAGGCCCCACCCCACATATCCTCACATCCCCTCGCCACTGCGAACTGCACCTGTTCGTTCTGAAAAGGGGCAGGTTTCATGACCTGCTTGGCTCTTTGAAGCAGTGTGGGCCGCTGGCGGCTCCGATCTTTCAATCTGTCGGACCACCTTCGGACCCACCTTGGAAGGTGCTTCTCCCACTGGGGCTCAAAATGGCTGAACAGAAAAAGCAACATCTGAAGTCGGGTACACAAGTCTTTCGGAATTGTTATGAAATCATCAAGCTTTGACCAAAGGCTGCTCTACTCAGACTCTGCTCCACAAGCCCGGAGCTGACTGATGGACATGAAAAAACAGAATCAGCAAGCCGACTTCGACTGGGTCAGAGGCATCCATCCGACTTCGACTGGACATGGACCAGCACCGACTTCACAGGTCCCCAATTGAAACCAGTTAGGGCCTAACAGTACCCTCCATTTCGGAGACCTGTTGGGTTCGGTTCTGGGACATGGACGTGTGTCATCATCTCTCCGTACGATGCGAAGATCGATGGACGTCACTCGTTCCTCCGAGCTCGTACGAAGAGAAGGCGACCGAGCTCGCGCCGTTCGGACGAGAGCGCAGCCACTGCCGAGGCCTTGGCTCCCTTTCGAAGCATCAGCCACTGCCGGTGAGAGCGGGGCGAAGGAGCGCAGCACTGGGGTGAGGTCAGGATCAAAAAGGATGGAGATTGATTTCATGAGATTTCTGAAATAAGATCTAATTTCTGGTGGAGAGATGCTGGGATCATCCACGTCTTCCCAAAAGAACCACTAGTGGTGATTCACTTTTGAGAGATCGGTTCTTCTACATTGTGCCATGAAGTAAGAATGGTTGATGAACATGGCCAGACCCAACAGGCCATGGTCCCTCGAAACCGTATTTGAAACCCATCCGACCCATCCGGGTCCAGGAACGTTTTAGGTGACGAACAACATGGTCGACTGGGATCAAGTTTGTTAACAAGATTTTAACATGTTTGATTGTAAATTTGTCAAGTATCGATTTGGATGTATGACCAACACGATTCGTGACGACTATACCTGTGCTCAGGATCATGTAGTTTTTAAGCTGCAAACTGTGTTACATGTGGCCTATCAAAGCTGCATTGCCATGTGAATTGGACCAAAATCGGACTCCAAGCAAACTCGACCAAATCCCCATGTGTTGTTCGCGTTTCGCGGTGGTCCCAGATGGGTCCCAAAGCTCAGAGAAGTAAGGCTTCCGACGTCGCCATTGATCTCGTGGTGCGACGGGGTGTGGCTGGTCTGTGATGCCGGGTGCGGCTGGTTGATGGAACCCTATTTAAACCTTGGGTCTGTGCCAGTGAACCTGTAACAGTTGGTAAGTAAACAATCATGACTATAGTTTTGAACAAGGCCTGCAACCTAACCATCATCATCCACTGAAACCTGGTATGAGGATAGATCCAACCTATATTACCTTACATTTAAGATGTAAGATGCAACAAATCGCTGGACTGGAGATTGGGACGGATTTGCTGGGATGAAATCTGGTGTGTTTGACGAAGTTCCAAGGCAAACACCTCAACACGATGGCAAAAACCTTTGGACGATGGCTGCAACGCCACAGACCATCCGTCCAAGCGGGAGAAGGTAGCACTGACCGAACGTTCGGCGCGGGAGGGTCTCTCCCGCGCGCGCGGGGTTCAACCGCGCGGTCGTGAGAACGTTGGTCCTGGGGGTTGAGGAGTTCGTTTAGGATCGATTGTGGGAGCCCCGGGAGCCAATTGAAGGGACATGCCAATGAGACGGAATGTGAGTCTCATGCCATTAGTGTGTGTGTGTGTTTTTTGTTGTGTGTGTGTTTCAATGGCTGGTAAGCTGGTAGTGGTTGTTTGTTTCATCTAGATTAGGCTTTCACAATCTTTCCATCGAAGTATACTGTGGTGGGTGACTGGATGTGGTTTCAGATAGTTCATGGAGAGGGGTGATTCTTCCAGGTCTAAGAAACTTTCTCAATAAATTCACTTCGCTGTATCGGTCAGAAGAGCTTCGAGCTCACCACGACTTCTGTGTAAAGAGGGGGTATGATGCTGGCCATCGGTGGGTGCGTTCAGGAGGAAAGGACAGATCCAAGTTGGATGAACCAGTCCATTCAGATGCAACGGAAGGATCATTGCGATGGAAGGATTCGATGAACGAAATGGTGTCACCCCGTGATGTCCACAAGTCTACTGCAAACCGTTGGTTATCTTTGATTTATGTCAGTTTGCTGATGTACTTTTGGCCTTTCCCCCGCTGTTATGATTCGTTCACGACAACTTTCAGTGGGATATTTGGTGTGTTTGGTCTGAAGCCCTGTCGGGTGTTGATTGTGTGTGGCACCTTCAAAGCTGCCATCCCCCATGTTTCATAGCTAATCACGATTCAAAGAATTCCTATATAGGTCGTTTGTTGAAAAATCGGTCAAATCAAAACAGGACCAGCAGTAAGGCCAGGGTCGCCCCGTTCCTAGCGGCCTTTGCTCCGTTCGTAGCCCGAAATGCTTCATGTTTTTCGCTTCTTGCTCCTACGTAGTCAGATTGGAAGAGCATCCAACGGCATGCCCCGCCATTTCTGGATTTCCCACATCTCGAACGACTCCCGGGGGAAGCACAGCTAGCACGGGGAGTGCGCGTGAGGAAAAGGACGGCGCGCGCGCGACGGAGAGAATGAGACCGACGCGGCGTGTGAGACACGTGGACACGTGACGTGAGGGATGCAGGTTTCGCTGAGAACGCGGTGTGAGATGGTGTGAGTGGATGCTTCGTTTTTGCCGTTCTCGATGTTGTTTTTGCTGCAACAAAACACGATGCTCTTCGGATCTTCAACTCCCCAAAGTCCTGCCTTATAAGTCCCATCAATCAGTGATGTTCTTGTCTTCTTCAACTCCCCAAAGTCCTGCCTTATAAGTCCCATCTAAAAATGTGATCCCTTATCAGTCCTGCATGTTCTTGTCTTCAACATGTCGAAGATTGCTAGCTATCAACATGTTGTTTCGTGGTGAACTGCCAATGGTGGTTGCAAGGGGAAATTGGTTCACCGATGGTGTCCACTCCCAGTTCCTACCAGCACCTTCATGTCGGGGTCACCTGGCTGGTTGCGCCCCAGCCCACTACTAAGGGACCCTCCAGACAGGACACCCCGAAAGAAGGTCCAGGTATGTGTTGTTTTTTTTTTCCATAGGGATGCTTCAAACAACTTCGCTGTCAGCCTCGACGCGGATGTCGATATCCAGTGGTGGGAGCAACTGGTTTTCCATTCCTATGTGTATAATTAGATATGGCCACCCTTCTGGTTCAAAAAGGGTGAAAGACATGTCAAGAGCGCCAGACTGAGGGCCACCAAGTCACAAACAGATACAAACAGACCGCCGCCTGGCTCAAAACTGCCTGCCAGCTGCGAAATCTTCTCCGCACCGCCAGGTAGAGAAGATCTTCCCGAAAGTGAAATGAACACCCACCGTTTCACAGGACCGTGCGGACACTCGTCTACATCGCGATGACGGTGACGGCTCATGAAACGCCCCGTGTTTGCACACGGAAACCATGGGTCTACAGGAGCCACGGCTGAACTCACTTGCATGATTTCCTTGACCTTTGGGCTTTTATTAGGTGATCATCTGATGACCTGGGCACACCGCCCACATGGCGTCTGCACTCGTGGAAAAAGAAAGCTTTTATTAGGTGATCATCTTGCCATCTCTGGCCGGCTGAAGCTCTTCCCGTTCTCTACGCCTGAAGCTCTTCTCCAAACCGTAAAGGACAGTGGAGGTCATGCCCTCCGAGTCGAGCACCGGTTCCGAGCACCGAGCTTCCGAGCCCCGGTTCGAGCAAAAGAGGTGGCGCCATCCACATAACCGATGTACATGATGTACATATATCGTCAGGGTGTACATAATATATGGTGTACATGTAAAAGCATGCATTGATGAGAAACAGATGTTCCTTCCTGGGCACTCTAACACCCCCACACCTGAGAGGGGATTTGGGACAGAGGACCCTTCCACTCTTCGTGGATTTGGCCGAAAAACGAATCTCTGAATTGCCAGAAGATAGGACCATCCTTCTTCTTTCCCAGCACTCACCGACAGTGAAGCACCCGACAGTTGGTCTTTGTACCGACCGCCTCAGGATCTCGTGTGAAGGAACGTCTCACCTGGTGGGTGCGTCTCACCCAACGGTCCACGTCGCAGGGAGGGCAGTGAAGCGCCGTCAGGTTATGGACGGTCTGGACCGGTCTGGTGGTTCGGGCGAAGAAGCTCAACTGATCCGGTCGTACCGAAACCTCAGGTACGGTGATGTGTGGAGACACTGTGATGTAGCTGCGGAGGGTCCAGTCGTACCGAACCAGGTCGGTTCGGTACGACTGGATTTGTAGGGAAGAATGTATCTCCCAGACACGACGTTCGACATGACTAGACACTCGGACTGGCATATGAATCCATACAGACAGGGGGGTGGTTGAAGTCGGGGTCAATGGGGCGGCATATATACCATACATGGAGCGTTTGGGTATGCAAAATGATGCACATGCTGTTGGTTTGTCAGGTGGGCGGTTAAGCCTTTAGGTGACGCAGTGTCGTTTGTCCCATTCTCTGTTTTTGTGATGTGTGTGTGTGTATTGTCCGCCAGGCTGATTGGGTGCCCTTTGAATATAGGCTGAGTACTTGCCAACTTGCAGTAAACGTTTGCGGGTCATTTGGGGGTCTCAAATTTGCAGGTGTGGAGTATACTCAAAGGGGTCAAGTCGATAGGGTCGGGTACAAGTGATGGGACTGTCATAGGACTGCCAATCAGGGGTGCCAGGGGATGTATGCTGTATGCATATGTTCCAGTCCAGTCGTGTCTGGGGTCAAGTCAGCCATGTTCTCGTGAGAAGACTCGTGAGTTGGCCATGTTCTCCCCATGGATCATGATGGATCGCCCTAGAGCGGCGACGGAGCTGCTACCGAGGCAGAAAGACCCATGAAAGACCATGAGCACATGCCTCCAAGATCGGTTCGCTCGGTTCGAAAAACCTTCATTTGGTTCTCTGCAGGTACACAACCTTGCTGTTTCCTTCCCACTGCCTTCCTGCGTCAAAGTTGCACTCAGACGGCTTGGATGGCGTCTGCCAGAAAAAAGGACTCCTGCGCAAGCGCGCGAGTTACTGGAGACCTGGGTGGTTGAGGTGAGAGGTATATTCAGAGAAGTGAGAAAGGTCGCGAAGAGGAAGCTTCTATATACTGTAGTTGGGATGTCTTGGGACAAGTGCTTTTTTCGGAATCTTCAGCTATGCGCGGAGGCCTCATGAAAAGGATCGGGTCATGGTCACCTCCTGGAATGTTTCATGGACTCACTTCCCCAGAATTTCAGCTGTAGTTTCTGCTGTAGGTCTTGTTTGCCCAGATGGTGCAAGGTAGCCAAGAAGTCTTCCGCCATGTGAATGACATGCCAGCATAGTCATTTTCCAGGGTCCGGTCCAGATGGCTGAGACAGGTGTCACCAGCCAGGTGTCACCTATGAGAAACTCACATGGTTGACAAATCGAAAGTTGAAGCAATCACGTCTTCAAATTGACGACCTTCAGCACCGAAACATACCAAAACCTGTTAAAGGGGTGAACGGGAAAAACATCGGGATTTCACACACATTCTGAACTGTACATCGGGCTTTGTCAAAAAAACGTTCGATGTTCGTTACCATCGAACTCGTTCATCAACCAATACAGGGAAGGCAAACGTGAAGGGAAGCAGCAAGGCATTTCTCAAACCCTGAAAGTTGAGCATGTTCTTGAAGAGACCGAGCATGTTTTCGTGGATATGGGATAAAAGGATCATCTTCAAACGAACTCTCACAATCTCCACGCCTTTGAGATGGTCAGACGATCGTGAAGAAGCCGTTTGTTGGAGGAGCTTTCGGGTGTGACATCGTCGGCGCTTGTCCACAGCATGTTCACCGGACCAACGGTACGGAAGACGACCACATGAAGTTTCCAGAAAAAGAGGTTTCGATGCACCGATTTCGGCTCAGATTGATTTTTATGGTCCGATTTTGTGGCAGGACGCGGGCACCGCGCTCACGCGAACGCACATCCACCGCGCTGCTCGGGGCCCGGAATGGAACTGCTTCCATTCGTGAAGATGTTTGACAGGTAGGGAGGGTATTTAAATCACCAACCGTCGACATGACAACTGCATTTAGTGTTATATGTCCTGTTGTTGCTTATATGTTTATGTTGTGTCATTTGATTGCAATGTAAACATCTTCTTCACCATGTTCAACTCATGACTCAGATTGCGTCTCCAGCTTGTGGACACCCGGTGTCCTCTTTCGCACGGCTCCCCACGGTTTCCCAACGGTCCCATCGCAGGACGCAGTGGATCGAAGATGATCGGCAGGCGCGAGTTGACGCGTGAGTCGATGGCGTCGACCATCGAGTCGCCCTGAGCAGTGACGGTATCAGAAGAGGAGTTATGTGGAAAACTCTGGGATGGTGAAGAGGGGAAAACCAAAAACACAGAACCATCCAGTTCGAGTGGTTTATAGATTCCCCCTGGCCCATTTGCAACCAATAACCACCCCTTTGGGTGCTGCTAGAGAGAGTGCCAAAGAGCCTCTCCAGGATTTCACACTGGGTCTGTGTGAGACCAATCAAGATGGGTCTGGCAAGCGAAACGGTGTGGTCGGGAGTTCTCCAACTGCTTCAGGGTGAGTCCGGATCCCCACAGATGGGCTCAGAATGTCTTGGACGGTTTTGTCTGGGGGGTTTTCCTTGGGATCTAAAGAAAGGGTTTTCAAGGGGATCCTCAAGTATCCAGCAGAAGCTTTACCTGACTAGGTGAGAGTTCATATATGAGGAGTTCAGTATCTCAGGACCAGGCCAATGGATCCAGTTTGGTCATTGGAAGAATTCGGAATGAATACCAGCACCCTCCAGCACCAAACTGGATCCATTGCATGACCAAACCTACCAAATTATTCCGATAACCTGGTATGGATCCAGTTTGGTCATAGGTAAGGTATGCTTACCTACCAGCACCCTCCAGCACATCACCATCTGCGACTTGAGAACGTCTCCATTTCAGCCACCAGAGGAGGACCTGTAGAGTCGGGTGCTGGTGTATGCTTACCTGTTAACGATACGGTTACTTGGGTGAACAGATTACGTCGGGCACCACGTAGCGATCCTTTTTGAGACTCTTGGCACCTTCCTCTCAAACCCGGCTCCGTCGACCCACGAGTCGACGTCGACCGGCCTGCTGGAGTCGGCCGCCTCGGCCGGAGCCCACGGAGGTCTTCCATGCTGGGCCGCAGGCGCGAGCGACTTCAGATCGGGCCGAGATGCGATGCCGAGGTCTGTCTCGGCCCAGTCTGGTCGGAAAAAGATGATGTCTTTGATGATGGACTGGGTGTTGGAAAAAGGACTCTTGATGGGTCTGAAATGAAATGCTTTTGAGGCTTCCCTGAATCCAAAACTTGGTCTCCTGAACTACTGAACTGGTACCAGAGCAGAGAGGCCCTCCACCACTTGGTACGTTGATGTGGATTCTGACCACTCCAAGGTCAAATGTAGATCGAGTTTTAGAATATAGTTCAGCCTCCCAATATTATATGAAGTGGTGTTATACCTCCTAAAATCAGAGGGAGCTTTTGATCAATCAAGTTTCATCATTGATTCCATAAAGAGATGCAGGAGATGCAGTTCACCCCAAGACCCGCAGGTGCTTGTCCACGTCAACGGCTCGACGTGACACGGCCCGGTGGGGAGAGGTGTGTGACCGGGGAAAGCCCCATGAAACCCGGTGTGTTCGACGACGGATAGATGTGAGCTAAGACCCTTCGGCGACTTCGAAAAGCCTAGACAACTGAAACTGGACACCTTTTTTTGCCGACATTGACCCCTAATATAAGCTATGCATGGAGGGTGCCTGGGTCACAAGATCAGACACTTGCAGGTCCCTCGGCCTGCATTCCCAGACCATCCGTGTGTGAAATAGTTATATTACATTGATATACCTCATGTATGGCCGCAAAGTATGTACAACTATTCCATATACACTAGGATTGGAAGTTACATGGATGACCCCATGATATATATTCTACACCTAGACGACCAAGTGACATACATGATTCTAAGTATGATTCTAGTGTATACAGAAAAGTAGCACAAATTTCTTGAAATCATAATGTACCCTAGGGCTCCAAGTACCTTCTGGGGTGGGTTTGGAGTGTCCAGTCATACCTTCTGAGGAGGTCATTGGAGCCCCTAGGGGCATTATATATTCCATGGATGATCCGGGATTGGAAGGGCCCTGTACGGCGCTGACCGTTGACGGTCTGGTTTGGCTGATGAGTCTCGTATTAGGTTTTGCTTTTGGTCTTTTTTCGTGCATTCGTTTTTGGGTGGCATTTTCGGAAGAAGTGATCCATTCAACAATTACGTGGTTCCTGCTTTTCGCAGTGGTCCTAAACACAGGGAAGTGCCTGCAAAACAGACAAACCAACTGCGCAACTGCCCCGCCTCACCAAGGAGCCCTCTACAACAACATTTGCGAGACGGTCGGCAGCACACCCACCGTCAAGGCGCCGGGTCTGTGCCGCTTCTTCCGGCGAATTCCGCCCGGTCCCGCTTTCGGACACCGAAGAAGGGTGGTGTGCGTGCGCCGGTGCCGCGCGCGTGCTCTTTCCACGCGGAACGTGTGGGTTTGGGGATACTTGGGGGGTGGAACTCGAAAAGGTGTAGGGGGGTTCATGGGTTTTCCAGCTCTTCCAACAGGAGCGACGTGCGAGCGCGTCAAATGGGTGCGGAAACGTGGTGCAGTGGCTGAAGAAAATCTATTGATTGGAGTTGGTGACGGGAGTTTGGGAAGGCTCTGCGTGGTTGCAAAAAGGAAACACCAGGATCATCCTGTTTGGGTGTCCTGGCTGGAGGTTCTGTCTGGCAGTGGGCTGGGTAGTCCATTGATCTTGGAGGCCCAGACAGGATGAGCCAGGCAGAGAATCCCACAAAAGAATACAGCACAGTGGGACCACAAAAAAACAGATATATATGATGCCCACAGGTCAATGACCTCATGTTTACTGGAGTTGGTGATGCAAAAACACTACGAAAAAGGAGGTAAAATAGGTTTCAGTGGGTCAGACTGGACGTACGTAGCAAAGGCCGTACTATGATTGACAGGCTCCTCTTCCAGCAGCCCAGCCCTTTCAATCCAAGAAAGACTCCTCACCCTTCTCATCAAGGAATTTGAGCCCTGAAGCTTTCTCGGCCGTATTTGAGTGAACATCGTGGCTGAGAGGGATATTCCTAGCTCGATTGGGTTTCACCACAAGTGTCTTGCGTGTCTTGTTTCCTTCTTTCCGATACTTGTCACACACCCACATCTAGTAGCGATGGCCTCCAACCTAATAGTGATATTGAAGAACTATAGAGATTTGATACCCTCCCTGAAACAATCATACAATCATCGGAAGTGGAGAACGCATGGCCACCAGGAGGGATGACTTTCCATTTACAAACAGCAGGTTTTCTTTCCACAAAACCAAGTCCCACACACGACCAGTCGACGGGACTGCCAGTCACTCCTAAGAAACGGCCCCAACGGTGGTGGTGGACTGGGGGGTCAATTGATCGGCATCCACTTGGCCGTTGTCTGGAGCGTTTGGTACCCTCTTGGTGTACCCCGCTTCGATCCTCGAGCGGTGTACCCAGCCGCGGTGTGGAGGTGAATCGCTTGGCGCCGGCGAAGGTGAACCTCTATGTGAAGCGGGAGCCCTTAGAAGCCGATCCGGGCGTGGCGCGGGCGAGTTCGGGTGAATGAAGGGTGGCAAGCGCGGCAAGCAATGGCGGCAAGCAATGCATGCAATAGCTGGTCTGAACGGGAAAGTTCGGTATGAATGGTAGTGAACAGAAGCCTCAGCGAGTATTTGGCACGAGGTATTTTGGGGGGCTGCCACTGCCAGATAGGATCTGTTTAGTAAACCAATCACTACTCGCATCTCACCTATTACCGTCGCAGAATTTGGCCCCCCAAACACAACAGGAAGTTGATCACGGTGGTACCCTAAACCCTGCAAGTAGCATTGAATGTGGGTTATTAGATGTTATTAGTTCTTCATTTGTTCTTCCTATGTTCGGGGAACGATGACTCTCTGACACGATGACTCTCTCGCATCGCTGAAGAAAAAGACCTACGACGGCCTGTCCCAGCGGGATGTTCCCCGATCTTTGGGAACCATTGTTAGATCTTATTATGCGACAGAGGGATTTCCATTTTTTTCTGAGGCACCCAGGCGCCCATGTTGACATACGTTCCAGTCCCGTCGTTGCGGGATGATTTGGACACCGAAATCTGCAGTGGTTCACTGCCAAGGTGCTAGCAATCCTTGAACCATGAAATACATACACGTTCCTTCCACCTTGACCATGACCTTTTGTTCGGAACAACAGAGGTCACAGGCAGGAAGAACAAAAAGAAGAAAGAGGAGGGCGAGAAGGAGAACAAGAAATTCAGAGAAGGAAAAGCCTCAGCAAGAATACGCAACAAACCGAGCAAAATCAATAACTTCTTTGTTTATGTGTCAATGTCCCCAGAAATATGTCGCTTTTTCAATGGGAAACCTTTTCAAACTAAAGCCCCTCGTGTCTTTTGTTGTGGGAAAATCCACCCGACTATCCATGGACCGTCCTTCTTCAGATCGGCAACACCAAGGTATAGGCAGCCTACTCCAGTCTGTCAAATGTCATAAATCATGAACATCGTAACATCAGGGTTTGGAATCATGTCTTTTGAAGGACTTAAGCCTGTATAAAGTGGATACACTTTGACGAAAACATCACATGGAAGTGGAGTTCACCCTGTTTGTAGAGGAGATAGATTGGTCTTCCAGTGGAAGCGATGTGTTCGTCAGAGCGTAACCAAAAAATGAAAATAACTATGTAAATGTAAAGGTCTAAATATATTAATATGCATTAGTAAAGGTCGTCTAAATATAATCATATGCACCTTCAGGGGTGTCCTGTTTAACCTGTTTGGAGGTCCCTTCGTAGGGGCTTCCATCGGTGACCCCTTCGGTGTGAGGTGCTGGTATAACTTTTTTGGGCTGGTTTCCCTCACTATAAGTGAACAGGGCACAACCTCCCACTTTCTCTTTCGATGCCTGCGAAGCCCGATCACATGCATGGCAAGAAGCGTTTTACCCACCACCTCCATCTTCCAGGAGTCACAGAGTTGGGGGGGCTCTGGGGGCCGAAGCAACGGAGGAAGTCGGGGTGCCACTGTCATATCCACTGCTGACTGGTGCTTAGTAGGGAATGAGGGAATGAGCCCCAATAGAGATTCCTTTGGATTCATTCCCTCATTCCCTACTAAGCACCAGTCAGACTGTCATGACACGAGCCAAAACCCCACTCCATGTGACTCCAAAACCACCAAGAATCAGATCCAGGGCGCTCAAGAGGGACGGACGTGCTCGGTGCTTCGTCCATCTGGTGGACCCTGCAAGGTGGACGATGTCTAGCTTTTTGGTCTGTTCATTTTCGGTGGGCAAGCCAAGTAGCCGGGTTTTGACCCACAGCCATCTCAGGTTAGAGTACTTCAACCCTTTGGCCTCCGTCAAGGACACGACGTTCTTCGCGTGTTCGCTGGTCATGGTCGCGCGGGCCAAAGCTGCGCAAGAGAGACGATGCGCGGGCTCACAGGGACTCAAGCAATTGGTGTCTCAGCCGGATCACAATGTCCCCAACATCTGGTACAACGAGGAAGAAAGAGATTTGAAAGCAGATTGAGCAACTAAACGGCTGCATCCTCACCGGGCAAGAGACCCCCTGGAACCAATCGCCAGTTGAAAAAGGAGCTCCTTCAAGCTGCGGCGATGGAATTGCTGGCTGCGCCGTACGGCTTCCAAACCTGCATGATCCACTGCAGAGGATGGAAGTGTTTGGAAGCCAATTTGCATCTGAGGACTTTAGAAAACGGCAGACGCTGGACACCGAAGCCCATCTTCGTGCAAGCGGAAGTCCTTCACCCAAGCAAGCGTCGGAGCAGCATCGGTGGACATCCAAGGTCACCGAATTCACCCAAAAGGTGCAGGAATCAATCTGGTCCTTTTCAGGGCAGCCAGAGGTTGAGGTGAGGGTCTTTAGATTGTACCAAAGGTGCTACTCCTTCTCCTTCTTCCCTCCTGCGCACCATAGAGCACACAGAACAGTCAGAGCACGCGCACGCCGCCATACTCTCCCTGACAGCATGTTTTGCCGCCATGAACCATGTGCCTGTTAGCAGTAGCCAGCTACAGCGCGGCACAAATCGTGTTTGTGCCGGCAGTCCACACTGCGGTTGCGCGCGCACCCTCGGTCTTCGAAACCGTCAGCCAATTTGTCGACCTCATGTACCTAGCGAGTGTCATATCCACCAGCCAAACTGGACACTCCACATCGACGGATTGCGATGGGACGGTCATGGGGGGCAGGGTTTTTTATTGTGTGGTAGTCCTCACACACCAACCAAATCCGACCGACCTTGCCCACTCAGAGCTGCCGGCTGTCACCCCAGACTATAGGCTTCACCTGCAGGGAGCCATGCATTCCGCTTGCACTGTTTCGTTGCTTTGGGTGCACGATGGTGCACGGAATGCTTTGTGAGGTTCCAACATGGAGGTGTACTAAGCTATTTGTGGACCATGAGGAAATCGAGTTGCCGATTGCGTCTGAAGCTTTCGGAGTAGCACTTAGACAAGAAGAAGAACATGCGAAAGCTATAGCTGCACATGTACCGGGAATGTTCCGTGATACCGGGCAATATCAAGTCAAAAACAATCAAGTCGGAGGTCCCGCGGCATGCTGCCAGCCCGGCAGAAGATGGGCTCTGTCGAAAAGTGTCCCTCCTGATCCTACCCCGAATCAAGCTCACTCTAGTGATTCTAGCTTGCCGCCTACCTTGGCCAGCCCCTCGTCATTTCCAGCTCAAGCAGTGCCCCGCCGGCACTAGCTAATTCACATTGGTTTTTCTCACTCTCACGCTCACACTCACTCTCACTCATACTCACATTCACACTCGCTCACACTTCGACAATTTGTATTCAGTTAGCTCAATTTCTCCGATGGGAAGGATGGCGAAGAACCGCAAGGTGAAAGGTCCAAGAACTTGTAGGTGTTTGAAAACACTGTTGCTCAAGTCTGCAGAGACGATCGGTCGCTCGGGCGGCGCGGCGCAAATCAGCTGACGCGCAAACTCAGCTGCAAAACCGAGGTTTAGGGGTGGAAGCATGAAGAAACATGAATCAAACCGTGGAAAAGTAGGGTGACAGCTTGTGGAAAACTTCGCAGGTACATGAGAGTGATCAGCTCTCACTTCCCTCGACACATCATAGCTTCGTTGCGTCAGGTAGATGTGTCGAGCCTGACGCCCCTGCTGTGGAACTGAACGGTGGTAAAGGTGACCAGTGGATTAGTTGGACGAAACCCTTTGTCCAGGGGTGGACACACACAGGTCGCCGGCTTCGGCGCTTTTTTCCAAATAAACGGTGGAGGGCGTGCTTTGTCAAAACTAATAGCCACCTAAAAAGCCTTAGAAAGACAGAGAAAGCAAACAAAACAAAAGCAGACTAAGAGGGCAAGAAAGAAAGATAGGAGTAGTTACGAGGCCCACTTAGTTAAATGAAAGTAGAACGCGAGCGGGACATTCGTCTTAAACCGCCCGGGTAGCTAGCAATAGGCTAGGAGAAACAGAAGGAAAGGCACCAACACACAAGTGTGTTGAGTGCGATTTCCTTCTGTTTCCCGAGTAGCGGGTGGGATAGCAACGGAGGCCTGGGGGTAGGGAGGGGAATGCATGATGAATTCGTCCGGCCTGTGAATACTTAGCAGCACTTGCATGTGAATACTTAGCCGTCAAGTCAAAAAGGCACAGCATGCAGAAAACCATGTGCAAACACGCACATGATTTGAAGAAATGAAATGACGGGTCCGAAATCTGAAAGCTGAAATCCGATGTATTCATCAAGAACCGTTTTTTGGCCCGGCGGCCGGTATGTCAGTTGATTCGGTGAGGGTGTCGGTGCCTTCCTGTGAAAGTCCAGTGAGTGGTGGTGCGTTGGGGTGGTTGCTTTCCCATGCAGGATCGGCGCCCCTGTGACGGGGATCACACTCAGCACCCGAGTGGGACGGCTGAGCGGGACACACTTCGACAATTTGTATTCAGTTAGCTCAATTTCTCCGATGGGAAGGATGGCGAAGAACCGCAAGGTGAAAGGTCCAAGAACTTGTAGGTGTTTGAAAACACTGTTGCTCAAGTCTGCAGAGACGATCGGTCGCTCGGGCGGCGCGGCGCAAATCAGCTGACGCGCAAACTCAGCTGCAAAACCGAGGTTTAGGGGTGGAAGCATGAAGAAACATGAATCAAACCGTGGAAAAGTAGGGTGACAGCTTGTGGAAAACTTCGCAGGTACATGAGAGTGATCAGCTCTCACTTCCCTCGACACATCATAGCTTCGTTGCGTCAGGTAGATGTGTCGAGCCTGACGCCCCTGCTGTGGAACTGAACGGTGGTAAAGGTGACCAGTGGATTAGTTGGACGAAACCCTTTGTCCAGGGGTGGACACACACACACATTCACACTCACATTCACACTCACACTCCTCACTCCCACACTCGCACTCACTCACCCACTCACTCATTCACTCACTCACTCACTCACAACCACCGCCACCATCACCACGATCTCCACTGGACCCGACCGATCTCTAGACTTTCTGCTGCTACACCTCTAGACCTCACACACACTATTTGGGGTCTCTTGCCGGGATATTTTTTTGCAGAGCTCTCCGGCTCGGGGGCCTTACAGACAGATCTTTGGGATGAGCAGAGAGTTTATGGATGACCCTTGACCGGGAAGAAAGGTCCTGACAATGCTGGACGAATAGCAGTTGTCGCGTGGGCTTCATGGACCAGATGCAGTACCAGGCAGAATGTGCAAATGCGCAATTCGGAAATAGACCCCAGAAGAACAAGGATGGGAAGTGACGCAAGATGGAATCTAACTTAACTGGGCGTTTGCACGGTTGATTGACTTAACTTATCATCAAGTGCTCAGCTACTTGGCATTGGGGAATCTGTTCATCCTTCTTCGATGTGTTTCCATATGTTTCCATAGCTTGCTCTTAGCTCGCCGAACAACAGTGAACGTCCAATTAAGTCAACAAAGAATGCGCGCGCCAAAACTAACAAAAATCGCCACACCAGTTTGCATGGTTTTCACCAGGGTCGCGCAACGCCAACTACGGAAGTCGAATTTGATGCCTCCCAGATCTCTCAACAGGTTTTTCTGGATCTTTGTTCCGCGTTTTGCCGATGAATTCAGAGGTCCTTCGAAAGGTTGTTCTTTAAAAGATATTAAAAAGATCATATCAGATGTCCACACGTGACTTACTTCAGGGAAACCAAAGTTTAAAAAGGAAACCAGCGGTTCGGCAACGGATGTGGCTGTGGTTGGTTTTCCATGAGTGGTGCACCCATTGCGGATGGTTTGGTTCCGAAACACAAGCCTAACCAGCTGGTGTCTCAAGGTTTCATTCATGGTGTTTTTATATCTTGGGTTTCATCGGAATTATCATGTCGATTTTGGTGTTGCTCCAGTTGCTACACTTATTGATATACAACAAAATATCATATGTAACATTAACATGTATTTTAATAGGGAGATCTTGTGGCCTCCAGGGTGTCTTTGGGAGGTCTCCCTATTCTAATACACACCCACATCAGTCATGAAGGTGTCGCACGTGTCCAGTTAGAGGAGAAATCAGACGGGGGAGAGCTCCGTCCGAGCAGTCCTTCCTCTCCTGTCGGTGGCTGCAATGTTAGTGTTGAGTTAGTGAACCGAAAAAAACAGCATGCATGTGGTAGCAGGGCTCACATGCAGGGTTCACCAGCCACAAGTCCCACTGATGATTCTCAACTGTGAGAGCACCTGTGGGAAAGTTTGGGATAAGATAATATGTTGCTGCTTGGGAGAAAAGAAACATATATAATATATATTCTCATATTGTTTTCAACTTAGACGATCATTTAAGAGTTGAACCGTTTAACCTGATTGTCGACCATGTTCTCTTGACACCTAAGGAATTTTAGGATCTAATTAGACTAAAAAAGGGTATTCTTTTGGGAAGCTGTTCTCTTTTTTCGATCATGTCCAAGTCGTCATGGCTTCACTTCGCATCACTTTGTCAGTGCGCGTGCGCCATGGGTCGTGGGTATCGCGGTCGGCGGTCGTTTCAGGACCGTTTGGCGGTCGCCATCATTGAGGATGCGGAGAAGAAGGGCGAATTGAAGCGAGAGACCCAGGGGATTTCTACATGGGGTTCTCCAGCAGGGAACCATCATCCAGGGATTCCTGGCCCACCATGAATTTAATGGGTTTGTCTAACAACGATTGTTTTACTAAGGAATTTCGACTACAAAACCAGGTCAACCTTCTTTGAAATGGTCGTACGGAAGGCTAGACCGACAGCAGCCGCGGGAATCACCGAAGGGAAGCGGAAGGAGGACTCCGTTGGGACTCCGTCGAACAGGAGTGACCATCGGATCATCTTCCGTCCGGCCCGGCACAACAGTCGTGACCCTCCCTGCAGAGTCGTGGAGTGAGTGAGTGAGTGAGTTCAACCCCTCTCCCGAGATCAACTTCCGTTCAACCGAACATGACATACAATATACGCGGTATCATGCATTTGAGGATCGATGCTCGTTACTATGTTGACTTTACCGTCTTCCAAGACCAAAAATGGGAACGACCTGGTGTTTGTAGTGTAAAAAAGCTTAGTAGACTTCAGGATGACCCGCCTATTCCATTTCGGGTCTGGTAGATCATCGTCTTCCGAAATCGGGGCCCAGGACGTCCACGTTGGCCCCCCCATGGACGTGGGGTGTGTGTGGTTACCTGGACACCCCTTGGCCCGGGACTCCTTAGCCCCTCCAAACGAGCTTAAGGAATCTCTAAGAAACCAGCCAAAAGACCTGGATCCTGGTTGACTTGGATTTGGACTCTTGGTACTTGGCTCTGGAAAAGTATTACATTCAGAGGTTCGATGGCACAAATGTCCAAGTTCGGTGCAATGATGGACCCCCATCGAAGCTTGATGGACCCCCATCTACCTAAGAGATCTTGGGAGGCCGTGCCATCTACTGGGAACTTGGCGGATCAGGTGATTCGTTCTTTTCACGAAAGCTAGCCTTAGCTAGCTGGAGTTGCTCTTGCTTTAGCAAGTTAAGTGACGGGGTGGACGCACCTCAGAAACCTCAAATAATTGATTAAATCAATCTTATGGACCCCCCCCCCCCGCGGGTTCGACTCCCCCCTGCGCGCGGTGAGCGGGACCACCAAGCAGCTGCAGCACACCAAGCATCTGCAGTCTACCACCAAGCAGCTGCAGCAAACCACAAAGGAGCAGCAGCAGCAGCAGAAGCAGCAGACCCAGAGCAGCAGCAGCAGCAGCAGCAGACCACCCAGCGCCAGCAGCAGCAGCAGCAGCAGCAGACGACCCGGCGCCAGCAGAGCACCCAGCGCAGCAGCGCCCAGCGCAGCAGCAGCAGCAGAGCACCCACCGCCGCAGCAGCAGCAGCAGAGCACCCAGCGCAGCAGCGCCCATCCCTGACGACCAGACTCTCGTTCACCCCCTAGCTAGCTTTCGTTCACCCCCTCTGGCCTCAAGTTCCAAACTGGTTCAATCCCCCCACCTGGGAAAATCGATGTCTTTCCTCCCGCTCACCTCCTCACCTCCTCGCCTCCTCGCCGTGCCTCATCGGTCGCTTTCCGCCAAGGCCGGGCGGTACGGTCGTGGAGGCAGGGATGGAGAGAGACCGCGGGAGGCACCGGCACAGACCGCTTCTCCTGCTTCGGATCAGGTGATTCGTGGTCGTAACAGATCGGACCAAGATGAAAACGAGGGACGAACATCATGTGCAAAGCTCCAAAACATCTGAAACCAAAAGCTGGTACAAGGTCTGAAGATTCAGAAGCAAATGACTGACTGATTACCTTACATCTGAAGCCGTGCCTGAAACCGTGCCAATGCAGGCCCGGGACCTTGGCCATGGTCATTTGATCAGAGGTGATGGTTTCAATGCCATGAATCAAGGAATTCATATGGCAAGTCTCCAGCACTTGCAGTCTTTAGGAAATGAGAGCCATTGGGCCAATTGGGACATCGATCAACGCTTTTCGCCCTTCGGCACGGACCGAAGTGGAACCCTTTTGCAGCAAAAACTTGGCCGGAGGAATTCTGACACCTTTCTTTTGGCAAAAAACCGCCGCCCAGCTGGAACTGGAGTTCTGAAAGTTCCTGAAAGAGATTTGAGTGGTAAAAAAATACCTGCTTTCAAGGACTCTCGTTTACCTGAACCAAGCCAAACTTCTCCACGGGGCAACATGGTGAACCACGCACATCAAGATGTTCCCGTCCGGTTCGACTAAAAGTATCGAAGCAGATACAGACATGAGAATGGGGAAGCGATGGGAGACCCCGTTTCAGCACATTTATTCCTTGTTTCCAACCCGACGCATAGCTGAGAGTAGCCATAGCATGTTGCCATCATGTCGCGTGAAACCGCAAGGGTCAGGCATTCGTTGGGGCAAGGGGAGAGCTCACTCTTGAAGTCCTTTGTTCCAGTATTCTAAGAGTTTGCCAAAGCAAGTGGCTACTCCTAAAATCCATTGGGTCGGTAGGCCATACTCTTTTTCCTAGTCCGTGATGACCTGTCTCTTTCGCTTTGACAACCACGGAGAAGTCCTGCCTCGTGGAAGCAAGAAAGGCTATGCTTCAGTACTCGGGAGTTTGAATCATCCTCAAGTATAGGTAGAACGTAGAAGATATTGGAAGATCTCAAACAAGCATGAGCACTTGGGCTGTTGTGTTTTCTTTTCTTAAGTTTCCGGAAGATCTTTGGCTTTTATGAAACTCCACGATTTCCGCGTTACGAGTAAACTCTGAGTAGATGTCATCACCCTCCATTGATGAGCTTGCGGCAACCCCCTGGATTGACATTGAAGCAAGCAAGCAAGCAAGCCAGCATTTGGTTTCAGAGTAGATGGCACTGGGCACCCCAAGACGTTTGTCGACAGATGGGGGTCCATAGTTGCACCTTCGAACTTGGACATGCCATCGAACCTCTGAAAGCACCAAAAATACTTCTTCTGGGAGTCACATGTCGGGGTGGTTTTGAAGTCACATGTTCTGGGCACCCCTATCCTCCAAGTTCAGCGCCCAACTCCATGTGACTGCTGGTTCATGCTTCTTCGTGTGTCGGTGAAAGGCCACCAGCGGCAACACGGGCATTGCTTTGGCCATGGTCTCTTAGTCGAAAGTGGAACCTCGAACGTGCTGGTCGTTGGTCCAAAAGACCGTTGAACGTGCACGGTGAAAGCGGTTGTTCTACCAGATCGGCTTCGAGTGTGATCCGGATTGTGAAGATGCTTCGATCAATAGTGGCATAGGAAAACGCAATGAGTTTCCCTTCCAACGGTCGAGTCGGCCATGGTGTCGGGGCCATGGGGACCAAACTTGGGTACCCCTTCGATTGAAGGCATATCATAAACATGACATAAAGCATGACAAACCATATCAACAAGATGTCAGAAGAAAACAGCACCGTCCATGTATACTGCTTGTTGGACACCGTCCATCTACTGTAAAGAGCATCACATTCAGGCAGAAAGAGGAAAGACAAAACTGTGCCAAACTGAAGCAGTAGGAGAAGTCGGTGTGCCGCTCGCAGTACTTGTTTGTTGCTGCTTTGACAAAGGGTTCCTTCAACTTGGTTTCCATCAGTTCCTCATGTATTTGACAAAGTTGTTCCTCCGGCACCTCCAACTTGGCTTGAAGTACATCCTCCAGGTATCAGCTCGTGTCATGTTTTGTTGAGTCTTTTCTTCCCCGCTGTCTGACTGAAGGTCTTGGTGCGTTCTGATGCATGGATATGAATTAGGTGTGGTATACAATATGGTTCGAAACTGGCATGTGTTTTTTCTTCCCAAAAGAATATCATAGTTGGTTCCACACGACCAGTTGTGGTCGTTGCCACATGACTTCCACTTCTCTGAAATGGAGACTGTTTCAAGTCGCAGAAGGTGACCTTGTAGAGTCGGGTGCTGGTGGAAAGTCTGATTGGTGAACTCCCGACCTCCGGGTGTGCCGTCTAGTGGAGGTCCATGGTCTATGTTCCAACGGGACCGGTCTCCGGACTCCTGAAAACACCCGGACCTCGGGTACGACATAGCATGAGGGGATCTGCCATGCTCGTCATGCGCGAAGCTAAGCGCCCAGCATCATCTCCGGTCCAAAAACTCAAAAGATTTAACTTAAAAACCATGTGTTTTGTGGACCCAATGAGTTTGTGAACCATGTCTTGTGTCCAGCCATGCTAATCCCAGATATGTTGTTTGGGTCTTTGCGTTGTTTAACCGACTGTGTTTTTAAGAAATGATGTCCCAGACGCGACTGGACTGCCATAGATGCCGATCAATTGACCCCCCCCTGGCACCACCACCCCTGGCCGTTTGGAAGGCAGTCATATGGCAGTCTCATGGGTCGCGTTTGGGTGTGTTTTTTTTCTCGGTTCCTGGGAGCCGCAAATCCCAAGTAGCGCGTGTCTCCGGAGCGTCCGTGTCGACCGTCAGGTGTGCGCTCAACGTGGCTATAACTTCGTCTGCACCATGGCCGCCTCCTTCTCTGTGGAACGACGGAAGGCGTGGGTCTGTTTCGACCATGTTCACGCCACAGTGGGGGCCCTTTTTTCGGGCGACCAGCTGTCAAGGAGTGGTTGAACCCGTCACAAGATACACCTGTTTGGGAAATATGTCTAGCTTGGCCCCCCGTCTTTAGGAAGTTCCACATCTCGTTTGGTGGCCTTGTGGTTCCAACCTCGGCTGCCAATCACTATCACTACAGGTTAACAAGATGCAAGATGTTTTTCCCCGCATTCAAGCCAAATTCACTTGTACTCCTGAAGATCAGCAAGTATAGTAACAGTACCCAGACACTCCATGGGACTGCCATATATGATATATGCCGATCAATTGACCCCCCCAAACCACCACCCCTGGCCGTTTCTCGGCAGTCCTATAGCAGTCCCATGGGTCGCGTCTGGGATAGTAACAGTATAGTAGGCAAGCCAGGGCGTCCGTACCAATCTTGTCCCATCCTCGGGTCGACGACATGACCCCGTAAATCGGTGGGTGACCGAAAACCTCTTCGGGTGTGTGCCGCGCGTTCGGGTGACCGACAACGCTCCCCCCCAACAAACACCGGCCCTATAGGGGCTTCGTTTCGAAGGTGGGTGGGTGGATTTGGAGTGTCCAGTCATACCGAAGTCCGACTGGATCCCAAACGGGCGGATCCGTTTTGGAAGGAAGAGATTCACATGACAGCCGGATCAAGCCGGATCCGTCCGAAAAGCCACACGGAAAGACCGATGCCGTCAGACCATGTTCGAAGAAGATGTGTGTCAGGGCCGTATATTCTTTCGTGTTCCGAGCACAACGTATCTTTCATGAAGCCGAGGAAGATCTATCATGCTCGAATGAATCGAATGAATCTGAGGATGACAGCAGAGACGACGCCCATTTTGGGAGGGCAAGGTCCCAAAAGTGGACGACTTGACTTCCAAACCGGAAGCCCGCCTTTCCCCGCGGTCGGGAGTAGGAACCCGTTCGTGCAGCGCCAGGTGATGCGCATGATGGGCGCCAAGGTAGTCGTGAGGGACGCCCAGATGGCGCATCTGGAGGGTGTCGATTGAAGTCTATTGTGGACTCTTGATCTTTTGGCTCAAGCGACGACGACCTAAATTACAAACGATCCATAGACAATTTGACTCTTGAGAAAGTGCACATGAGCTAAGGAAGAATGGACTACAAGAGAGCTTTGCTTTCTTCTGGCTCTTCCTGAGAGCCCAAGGAGAGTAGGAAAAAGTTCAGCTCAATGAAGAGCCCTCTTGTGGCCGTGGAAGGAAGCCTTGAGGTGTACGAGTTCAAAGAACAAATGAGGAAATGTGTCGCTTGCCGCATGCATAGAGACAGAAAAGAATTTTGTGATGTCATTGGGTGAGGCTTGAATCATTTCACGAAGGTGGCAGACGACGAAGTCCCCGAGGGTCCGATTTCGCACAAAAACCCTGTGTACTTCTTCTGGAGGGAAGGGACCCTGGGAAGGTATGTCACGAGAAAGACCACGGCTGGAGTCCCTCTGATGAAATTCATCTCAGAGATCCCGATCTTCTACAAGGTGATCTCCCGGGGGAACGAAGCTACATACCATGTTTTTCATAGGGGAAGTCTTCTCATGGAGATGCGGCTTATGGAAGGGGAGCATCTTGGAATTGATGAGACAGTTTTGGTTTTGATTTATGAGAGCTGCTTGCAATCAATCTTCATTCTGATGTATACTGGGCTTCGGTTCAGTCAACTGCAAGAGTGGCAACAGAAGGTCTTCCCGCTTGAGCTCATTGAGCGGCGTCAAGCGCCGGTCCATGAGCGAAGTTCACACGCAAATTCAACTCGAAGTTGACCATGCCCACTCTTTTCATGGTGCATTTGCGGGGCTTAAACTTGATAAATCCAAATGTTTTGACAGACTCTTGCCGAAATTGTGTGCAGTGCTGATGCTTGCACTTGGTTTGCCTGCCCACCTTTGTTCGGGCTTTTGTTGCACTTTACAGTCGGATGACCAGGTTTTTGTCCTTCAAGCAGTGGACATGGTCAACACCCATTTCTGCCCCCAACGGAGTGGTCCAAGGGTGCTTTGTGAGCCTCTTGTGCATTAACTTGCACATGTCTGCTTGGAATTGGAAGATGCAGCGCATTGAACATTTATCCTTTCGGGCCTTTATTGGTGATATGTATTTGTGGGCCAGGGCCAGTTCTATTGCATCCCTCATCTCTGAAGTTGATATTACTCGAGAATGGGACAACCTGCGGGCAATTTTTGAATGCTGCAAAGTGTGAATGTTTTGCTTCCAATGGGTCACTCAGACAAGAGTTAAAGCCTGCCTTTCCTGAGATGAAGCTGGTGGAAGTTGTCAATATTCTGGGTGCGCACATACAGACCACCAAAAAGAATTGTGGTGCTTTTCCTCTGGCTCCATCCCAAAATGTTTTGAGACGTTGTACTGCCATCAAGGCCCTTCCTTGTTCGGCATACACCAAGGCTGTTCTTTTGGCAACTAAGGCAGTTCCGCAGAATTTCTTTTGCACCACAACTCAATGTTCTGCCCAAGAAACGTGTGGAACGAATCCAATCTGCAATTGCTGACGCCCTTTGGCAAGATCGTCCACATTGGAGACACAAAGCAATTCTTATTGGGATTGTTCACAAAGCTTACAGGCTGGACCCGTTTCTTTGTAGAGCTTTTGCCACCATTGTGGAAACAATCAAGTTCTTGCAAACATCGGATGTCGTCCGTCAATGTTGGGAGGACATGTATAAACAAGACAACTCTGCTCCACAGTCATTGATGGCTCAGCTTTCGCAAGCTTGTCAAATTTTAAGCATTGATTGGCGTGATGCTTTTCAGTTCACAATCTTTCAGGCTGAACCTATTTGCTTTTTAAGCATTGGCACAAATGACTTGAGGTGTTTACTGAAGAGTGTTGTGGCACATTGCTGCTATCTTTCTGCAGGTAAGTTTGCCGCTAAGCGGGTTTTTGGATTGATTTGACTCTATCTGCGAGGGCACGTCTGGCCCAGGAACCGAATCCAGGATTCTCATTCCTGTTCCACTGAGAATCTGCAATTACTGAGGACAGGCTCTGTGCTGCTGGGCTGCAGGATTCTTCGGCCTGCCGATTTGTTTGGTCATGAGAAAGAATCTCTCTTTCATTTTGCATTTGAATGTCAACACCTTCCACCTGACCTTCAGAGGCCTTACACACCGTTGTATTTGGGCCCCAACTTCGCACTGCTTGGTGTCGTGGAAATGCCAATGTCTCAGGTTCGTGATCGTCTCCGGGTCTCTCGTACGACGGATATTGCAGTTCATGCATGGACAGATGACGACGTTGCCCTGGTTCATCTTTGGAAGGATGGCTCTGTTGATGGCACTCAGCAACCGTGGACTGCAATTGCTAGTTATGCTTGTATTCATGAAGATGGCTCCGTTTTCCAGGTTGGGAGAGTGTTTCATTGGAGATTGTCTAGCTTCACCGCAGAGCTTTGGGCAATCATTGTTGCATTTGCGGCAAGTGACTCCCCCGTCATCATTCACACTGACTCATTGTCGGTTGTTCAAGTTTTTCAACAGCTGATTGATCGGGAGCATGTTGATCCTGCGTGGGCACATGCCGACTGGTGGGGTTTTCTCCTCCAGTTGATTCTGCTCAGGAGATCATCCTGCAATGTTCCACTCAGGCTGTTGTGGTGCCCTGCGCACAAACTTGAACACTTGCAACCCCAGGAGATTTCTGAAGGGCTACAGCAGCATGCCACCACGAAACAAGACATTGTCCTCAACAGAATTGCTGATCAAACGGCTAAAGATTTTCTCCGAGAAGAAGCTGCTGCACTGTTGTTGGCCTCTGCCCAGCAAAAAGAAGCAGTTTACAAACAACAACGCTGGCTTGCCTTGCTCAACCGACTTTGCAAGCCACCACCTGTTGTTTCTGGTACGGCTGAGGTGGTTCAAGAGGACTTTGCGCTTGCTCCCCGCTTGCTATGTCCTGCTTGGCCCTGGGATGCTGACAAGGCATCTTTTCCGTGGAAAGCTGATCTTGCTGGTGATACAGTCCTTCGTACTCGACGAGGAATTTCTGACAAGAATTTTCGATCGTTTTTGACTTTTTGCAATTCTTTGTGTTGGCAAATTCAAGAAGGCACTGCGTGCTCCATTTTTGAGCTTGCCACTCTTGCCTATTTTGTGAATTTCCGTTTTGATTTGGAATCCCAGACAGTTGCGACGCCTTTTGCATATGTGAAGGTGCTCCGAGACCGGTTTGCTGTTTGCAAGGCTGAAGGTCTTTCTGCTGCACCGGTCTTTCTCGAGTCCAAGAATTAGAACAATGGGAAGACGTTCCCTAAAGGCTCCTTCCCTGGGGCCTTCGTCTGGATCCCCAATGAGGTGTTGGAACGTGTTTGCTTTGCTTTTTGCAAAGGTGCAAAGGATTCCGTTTGACCACCTGTGTTGAATGGTTTCTTTTGACCAGAGCTGCGGAAGCTCTCTGGTCGCCGACTGTCGCTTCGAATCGGCGTGAGAGCACAAAAAAAATAAAATCTGAAATTGAAATCCTCTTCGTATGGGGGGGGGTGAAATATCATCAAGGATCTACGTTAGATCACTGATTTCCAGCCGACTGGAGGGCAGGTTGGCATAAATTGGGCTCAGCGTACGTTCACCCCGCTGCAAAGGAGGCCCCGACTACAAACCACGCCATGGCTCAAACGATCCATAGGGCCCTGACTTCAAGCACCCCTGGCCGTTTGTTTCTCGGCAGTCCTATGGCAGTCCCAGACAGGTCGTGTCTGGGAATGGCACAATTCATTGATCAACCACCCCGAAGTATGTCAATATTCCACACATGAGATATAATTAGAGCGAACGTTTGGGATTGGGTTCCATCAACGTAGAACGACACAAATGGTTGACATTCTGTGCACGACACAAATTGAGAGGAATGTGAGAGCTGGCTCTTTCAACGACTTTGGAGGGCCAGGCCTCGCAACACGCACTTGACGTCGCCGAGGCCAAAGAGCAACGCGAAACGAACACATGGCGCACGGATGCTGCTGACGTCGCCGAAATTGGAAGTCAATGGGTAGCGTCCCTGTTCCTGGAGCAGACCTGCATCTTAAAATGTATGCCAAATGAGTGCTGTGTCAAAAAATGTATAGCTTTTGGACGAAACGGCACTGCTTTGGGTTTTGCTATTGCTTTGAGTGTTTTCACAGAGTGAACAGAAAAGATATTTTTAAGCGGCAAATTCCTCTCGCGTGAAACAGTGCAAAACAAAGTAGCAAACACGGTGCTAAAACGGCACAAAAACTCTAAACACGTTTTAAGCTGTACACATCTTAAAGGGAGGGGCAATGTGAAACGGCATGAGTTCTTGGAAACACTTTTTCTGCCCAACTGCGATAAAGAATGAATGTCCAAGTGCTTGGTCGGCTGCCTTTTCACTGCAGACTTAGCCAAAGATGTCGACATGGGTGTTGGAGAAACTGGCTTGTCACGTTGGCAAACAAGGCGATGCCTCCTCCAGTGGGCAGCTGGTCCAACTATTCATGTTTAAGCCTTTAAGCATGAACCTTCTAAAACGCCTGAAAGGCATCCCTTTTTGATTTCCAGCCCGCCTCCTCAGTCAAGTCCTGGATCGAGTTCAACAGATCTACCCAGTGCAGGCCTTGCCTAAGGCGATGTTCTCCCTGTTTGTGAGTTCCCTTTTTGGTGATTGATATCTTTCTTCCCCCACCCCCCTTAGCCAACCCAAAGCATGTGGCACATGCTCCAGCTGGACTCCTTAGAGCTCCTGCCGGGGCGCTAGACCGCTGCTGTGAGTTCCCGCGAAACCGACCGCTGGGACGATGGCCGAGGTGACGCCGGCACCCTTGGGCGGCACCGGGATGGTCCTCAAGGCCGAGGACGGTCCATGGTCCATGGTCGAACACGCACGCGCGGTCACGTGTGTTTTCGCACGAGTTGGGGGGGACCGTTGGGGGGGGGGGGTGTTTTGGGTGCTCTCCGGGGTGTTGAAAGAGAAGGTCAAGAGAATGGTAAAAGCTGCGTTGGTTGTTGGCATAAAGTTCATTCAATGAATGATGTTTGCTGGAATGTCAGGGGTAGGGAACTCCATGGTGACATATTGACACGTATGCATAATATGAGATGAAAAGCTGGTGCCACGGATGTGCCCTCGAATGGATGGTGGAGAGGGTTTTTTTCAATTACTGTGTGAAAGATAAAACTTGTTGCACACAGCTGGTGCAGACCAAATTGTTCCGAGCAAACAGGTTCGCAGCTGGTTCTGCTTTGGGTTTCTCCTCTCTGGGAGTGCCCTGCCTGGGCATGGTCGGCTTTGGGAGAGGAGCTGGCAGAGAAGCATGGGTGGTTCTTGGCCCGGCAGTTCGAGAATGAGGCGGGGTGAACGAACCATGTACACTTGACCACTGCTGATGACCATAAAGGGACCCTCTGTGTTGTTCCTTTTCTTGGTGTAGGCTGGTTTCTTGTTTGGCGTCTTTGGTGCGAGATAACTCGAACAGCAAGATATACACTCCGACGAACACTTTACATGGAAGTGGAGTTCACCCCGCGTTTGTACCGAAAAAGAATAGTCTTCTTTTTGGGACCAGGTTCCACCTCCAACCTGCATGAATCAGAGTGTAAAAGGAACACCTGTTCTTGTGGGACTCTATTAGGTGGAGGCCGAGGCCACTGCTACTAGGAACAAGGACGCTACTACTTCTTGGGCATTGTTCAACCACTTTTTCGGAACGAAGCTGCTCAGCTCGACGCTTCGGGTTCCGATTTCGAGGCAGGCAACCGGCGCCGCCGTCCGAAGCTGGGCGAGTCCGGTTTCAGTCCGGTCGTCTTCAGTCCATTGTGATGGGTCGCTACTTGTAGAGTTCAATCACAAGGAGAACCCAATGAGCTGGCTCAGAGTAGAACCCAAGTTCAATCATTGGGTTTTTCATCCCGGTTGTCGGTTGTATCTCCTGGTTTTGCTGATCAGCTGATTTGTTATACTATCCCGAACTGGTTGAATCCCCTTTTCTGGGGAACAGTGTTTCCCACCTGTCAGGTGAGGGTTGTTTGATTTGATGTCAGCTGCCGTCCTTGTCCTCCTCCGCCTCCTCCTCCTCCTCCAGACCAACCAGATTGAAATGTCATAAAGTGATTCACTTTTTCCAGGCTCTCGCCATGCCATAGGTGCCAACCTTGTTGATCCCGGCGCAAATCTATCAGGAGTCCCACGAAACCCAGCTCCAGCACGACTCTGGATGGAACTTCAACCCAGTCCCAGCCACTTCCGATTTCAAGGATCGAAAAATGGCCATGGAACAACCAGTTGTGTCTGCTTGGGACTTTGGGAAACCCGGCCTGACATGGAAAGCCGGCTTGGACGGATGTTCAAACCCTGTTCAAACCCATCCGTCCCAGGTTTCGGGGTGAAAGAAGCAGTGTGACCACACGACTCGTTTGGCCAAAAGGGCGGGTGTTTCTCGCATTGTGAACCACTATAGGAGCTGGATCAGATTATATACACTCTGACTCACTAGCATGGAAGTGGAACATGGTCCCTTACAGGTGTTTGGGGTCCCTTACAGGTGTTTGGACACAGCTTCCCGTCGTCAAACGAACGTCGCAGCTGCCTCAAGGTCGCACTGCGTTGGGTTTGTCCGACATGACGTCTTAACAGTCAGTAAACAATTGTCGATATCACTATTCTAGAGAAGGACCTGCAACCTAACCATCATCATCCACTGTTGCTGGTAATAGGCTAGACCCAAACTATGCGATTGGTTCATGTTCCCGAACACTTCTTGGAACTGGCGCGAGGGTAAGACTACAACCAACCTGCAGCTGCCTGTGCGACCCCATCGTTGGTTTTCTTTTTCCGGTTTGGACCCATTTTTTTGGCCTGACACGTGTTGTGACACGTGAACCTCCTGACATCTGTTTCTTCCACACCCGTAAGAGGCTGGCCCTGAGTACCACGCTGGGAAGCCTAGGAAACACGGGCTGGTGCACGCTCGCAAAGGATCCCATGGAACCGGTCTGGAATTGACCGGTGGTTTTGACCATGTTCCGAAGACCAACCCGGTGGTTTTGGGGGGTTCATGTGGTTCTTTGCAGGGGAGTAAGTGAGATTGCTGAGGAAACACGGGGGTCGATTCCACTAAGCTGAAGTTCTTGTGACTCTTTTGTCAAGGTTCTTCTTCCTTACTCTGATAGTGGGTGTGATAATATCTGATAGTGGGTGATAGATCTTTTATCGGTACGTACAGGTGTCCAATAAGGCTCTTGGGGGCGGTTCTTGGTTCTCCTCCGTGGGAATGATCCAACTTGGAGTCAGCACGTTGCGCCCTAGTGCCAGTTCATATCCTGGACTTTGAAGTGAATTTGCAGCTCCCAATTGAAGTAATCCTCACTGTGGAGATGAAACCAGTGCTGTCCTTCTTTTTCCAGAGTGGTCCTCCAAACCTCCATAGAACTCTTAGCTCAACCAAGTCGACAAGACTCATGACAAAGAGGGCTTCCAGTCGACTATAGAGGGGAAGGTGGACCTTTGGCCACCATGGTTTTTGCCAACGGAAGCTGCGGCGGTGTCCGTTTCAGGGAGGACTCAAAAGGAAAAACGACTCTTTGTATTCGAGGCTGGAAGTTCGAGAAGAAAGCACTTGGACAACTCGATGCTGTAGGGAAAAGTCTGTATACCCTGAAAAAAAGTGTTCTTGCAGGTTCTTCCCATCCTTGATGATGTTTTCACGTGTTATATGATCCCCTTGGACCATGCTTCATGCATTCTTTCTGCAGAACCACTCGCTCGCCGCACGCCGGATCCGTGCTCCGGACCAGTCGGACGAGGCGAAGACCACTGGACCAGAGATCCTGAAGTTGCTTGGACGAGTCGTGGGTCGTTGCTGTTCTGGTGGTCGTTGCTCGTGGGTTTTCCTCGGTCCAAGGGTCCCAAGGGTCCAGTGATGTCCAGATAGGGTGAAACCTTGTTGGTTTGCCCAGAGGATCCCAGGAGAAAGCACTCTATTCACTCAAAGAAAAGAACCGGGGGGGCCCGCCCTTCGGTCTATGGCTTGGTCGTCGTTGCCTGGAACCACTGGGACGTCCCAGCGACATCGTGGGAGCTGCCTGGATACCCAAAATGGATCGCTTTGGTCCAAGCCATGGCAGGCTTGGCAGGCTTGGACATACCTCCACGATCTAGCCGGTTTGGTTTCAGCCACGTCCAGCCTGTGTCTGCAAACGTGTTCCGAGACCGAGAGAGCCTGAAACGATCTGTGACATGGTACCATTTGCACGATCTGCAATGTCATGCCTTGTCGGTCCTTCATGTACTGTGAGCGACTGAGTTTCTTGTGGTGCAGGAGTTGTTCCTTTCAACAGTTTTTAACCATGCATTGAAGATGGTTCTTGAAGTTGTCATTCAATACCGGTTTGAAGTCCAGCTGCCTGGGGAACATACTTCGATGCCAATTCATGTTATTTCCTCAAGCATTTTGGGGTATAGTTTTGGGCTGAAAGTGCACAGCTTCCTTCGGCTGGGCGGTACAGTGGGCTATGATGCGAAAGTACAGTGCCACGTAAGGACTGCGGCCCCCCCTTGGTATTGGCCCATGTTTGGCTGTGGGGACATGTATGGGTGGGGTGTTCTTGGTCCGAAACCAAAGCTCCAGAACTTGCAGACGACATGGCAAGTCTCATGGCAAGAGCACTACCAACAGAGGTTGAAGAACCCTATAGACTATCCCAGTTCGGTACCCCAGCAAGGTAATAGTTCAGGTCACTTAGCCTCTCTTGGTATGTGTGAAACCGCCAGAGAACCTGCCCAATCTCACAGGCGCGTTGAACTCTGAATGGCCTAAGTTCATCTAAGTTCCATATTTACCACCCGGTCCGGCCTCCGAGGGACTTCGAGGGGAAGAAGTTGGACTACTGGGCGGGGGGAGCCCGGACTTCCTGATCTTTCGAAAGGACGCTCCAGGAGGGGAAGAAGTTGGAAAATGTTCGGGTGACAAAATTGACATTGGCAGTGCCAGTGACAGTTTTTTGGACATGTTTGCTATACTATTGGGGTGACATTTTTGGGGTGTGAATTTGTTTCGGTAGCCGCCAAGTTCAGTAGCCTGTGTCTTTTGTCACCAGGGATGATGTGTCCTAGTTCGACCCAATCTTGCAGGCAGGCAGCTCGGAGAAGTCGTTCATCCAAGCCAGCGCAGTTGGTTTGGTTCAAAGCAGCCTTTTTCTTCCCAAACAGAACACACCACTCGAGGTTTCAGCACCTGGCTATGGTTGAGGAACGAATATATAGCTTAATGGTTTCATTGAATCATGTGTCTCATGACACTACTTATCCGTCAGACCACGACAGAAAGATGTGTGAAAAGACCAATGAAATGAAAGCGGTCCATGGGTTCCCGCCAAAAGCTCCGTATGTGTGAGCAGGACTGGCAGACTGGATTGGGAAGTTTAGTCCAACACGCTGTGGAGAGCAACATGGAAAAAGAGAACTGAATTGCTGGGCCCTCTTCAAGATCGAGAGCTAGCAAGCTCCAAATGGTCAAGCAGCACGGTGTTGTAAAGAACCTGCATCATCGTTAGTAGATTCGTATATATGATTTCCTGATCAAAGTAGAAGTTTAACGTTGGACCCCCCGCGGGATTGCATGAAATGACACCCTTTCTGGCGACCTGTGACACCTCTCGGACGCGTTCACGACCCGGAGCTCGGTGTGTCACTCAAAGCACCGACGACGCGGCGACCGGCGGCGACCTCCGCAGGTCACGGGCTACGGCACCGGTGGGACCTTCCAAGGCGCTGGAAGGGTCATGAAAGAGGCCCGGTCGCCGCGACCCGGTCGCCGCGACCCGGTCGCCGTGGTCGGTGCGGTGGTGAGAAAGCTGCCGTGATCCGAAGTAGGAGGTGTTTTCAGCATTCTGTAGTAGGTGATGTTTATGTATTCGAAGTGTGTCAAGGTTTGCAAATCAATATGTTGGGGCCTTGGGGTATGTGTTTTGTGATTTTGGGTGATCCCTTTGTAAAAAATCAACTTAACATGTGTGAGCTGTTTGTTTTGATCATGGTCTCAGAATCGTCCACTGCGCGTGCAACTTCCTGTTGTTTCGGAGCACGGAGGTTATCCTTGACCAATCAAATGCCTCGGTGGCTTTTGTTTTGCCCTTTGACCGTTTCCTAGGGCATCTCCTTCAAGGCGCACCTAGTTGTTTATTCCTGCAGCATATGTCATACACCCTCCACACGCGTGTACAACTCTTCACGAACCAGATCCCAAGAAGAAAGTGTAGTTCGCTTGCAATTGCATTTGTTTGGTGCCTTTTTTTGCTACTAGATATGCCAAAAGACTGGTGTGTTCAATATTTCGTGCTGAATCCCCCCCCCGCAGAGCCCGCAGAGCGCAGGGGAGTTGTGTTCATTCAGCCATCCAAATGTCAACGCCCTGACCCATGAGTAGTGTGCTCGATGACGAGCATTGAGCCATGAGGAATGTATGAGTTTTGTATGTATAGTCAACATCTAGGCTTCCTGGCCCACCATAAATTTAATAGGCTGAATCCCGAATCAACTATGGATTTTACACTACAAACACCAGGTCAACCATTTTTGAATGGTCTTGGAAGTCTAGGGTATAATAGTCAACATATTGTAGTAACGATCATCGATCCCAAAATGTATGATACTGTACCGTATTGTAAGTCACGTTCGATTGACGGATAGAGTCAGAGCGATGTATAGACTACGTTGGCAATTCGAGCATTGTTGTTTTGTCGTGTGTTTGTATTAGAGTCATATTTGTGCGCAAAACTATCTCGTAGCGCCCTTGCTACTAGTACTCTCTTGGAATGCCAGGAGTTACTCATAGCTTCTTGCTCCGTTCGTAGCGATGCCATGCACGGACGCCCATAGTTGAACTCTATCTCGATACTCTGCCACCGCACAACTGCACCACATGGAAGTCCTCACCACGGTGATAACCCCGGTCCTCACCTGAGAAACCGAACATGGAAAACCGGTTTTTGCGTGTTGGTACGATCCACTTGGTCCGTTCCTGTAGGCAAATGCCATGTCTAGCTCTGGCTCAAGAGTCGATGTCCGGCTCAAGAGTCGACACCCGAGTCGACCGATGCGAGCGATGCTAGCAGTTCAGCCACCAGTCATACAATACATGGGATCAGCAAAGTTTTGATAGGTCCACGACTTCTCTCCTCGAAATTGGTAGAAGCGACTACGCGACTACAGCGTTGAGGTGGAGACTATAGCATTCACACCGGAGATGAACCACCTACCATCACCTACCCAAGAACTCAATCACAGACATCGTGAGCCCAGAAGTAAAGCATGTTGGCTTCTGCGAGATGAAGTTCTCAACTCCTCCGAAAAGAATGGACACCAGGGCTCGAGACATCTTTTGATGGACCTTCTCTCTCCTTGACGCACCCAGGTTGGGTCCATGGTGAGATCATCCCATCTCATCGCCCCAGCAACTGGGTCTGGATTCAGCACCAAACTGGGATTCAGTTGATTGAGTGCTACTCTTGCTCTCTGGATTCTGAATGTCCAGTTTTTAATCCATATTCATTTTGACCAGAGTTGAGCTAGTTTGGGGACATCCTCTGATTTCTGGACTGCTTGCGGCAATTCTGCGCCATGACAGCCATGCTGAAGCGGATGCGGATGCGGCACTTGACCCTCCTAGCAGGATCGCGAACCCCGCCGGTGCGCCGCCGACGTGGGGGAGACGAGAGTTTCACAGAACTTCGTGGAGAGGTTTGACCCTGGTCTTGGCTCTTTTCACTTAGACGCCTAGAAGTCCAAAGGCTATATTTTGACCGACTGAAGTAAAGGAAATTCCCGAACTCGGGTCACCTAGTCAGACCATTCTTTTTGTCGACTGGACTCTCAGGGCAGCAGGGTAGAGGGTCTGAGGGAGGGCCATCCCGAATGGAAAAGCTGTGCGTCCCGAACCTTCAGATTTTCGCGAAAGAAAAAGGAACGGAACCGTTGTCCGCTGAAGAGATGCGAAGCTTCAACGTCACATCACTGGGCTAGAAGGTCACGTTGTTCATCAAAAGGTATAGATGTATATGATTTGCTTCTGCACGATGGAATTTGACGTTGAAAGGCCAAAGAAGATGAAGGGAACGGTCGTACTATAGGTTTGACCAGGAATGTGAACACGTTCCTTGGGCTGAATTCGTGTTCCTTTTTTGGTGGATCAGCGAGTGAGAAGTAGTTTGGCCAGTTCTTTTCATCGGCAGAAGACCTCACACCCATCTCCGGTGTGAAGATCGCTGGGGATCCTTCCGCTGGCAGAGCTTTCTCCCTTCAGCTTTCTCCTCGGTGTTGGTTTTTCTCACAGCCGAAGAGTCTCGACGCTGGCACAGGAGCTGGTGGGAGTACCTGGTCTTGGCGTGCGTCGCAGACCTGGGCTGAGGAGGAGCTGCCGCGACCGTTGAAACGCTGCCCGACCGGAGAGGAGTCCAGGTGACACGGTGGGTGACCGGGTCTGCGTGCGAGGGTGAGGCATGTTCGTTTGGAGTCACTCTCAGATCAATTTGTGTTTGCAATGGTGTGAAAGGTGGGATGAATATGATATGATTGGCAAGGAAAGCAAGGAATGTCCCAATCGAAGTACCAAACTGAACCTTCCGTGGAATATTTGATTGGGGATGCTATGACAGAACTGTAAACTGTTCCCTGGTTCACTCTTGATATCTATCTTTGGCTTTGGGTGTCAAAACAAACACTCAAGAAAAGAGGACGCTGTTTTTGCGTGCGACGAGCGACGAGCGCCCCATAGACCCATCCCCGGAGCTCGACCACTCGACCTTTACGGCACACCGAAGACCGCACAGAGGTGGAGGCCGCTTCATGAACCCCTGGACCACGCCCGAGGGCAAGAGCCTCAGTCATCGTTCAAGAGGATGCGCCGCTACACACAACATCACACAACTATAGTGTCAAAGAAAGGCTTCTCTTCTACCATCTGAGGGAAACACGCGGACAAATCCGCTGGATCGGGTAACGCTTCAACAACCGCTGGATTGGTTGGTTGATGTGTGCTGATCCATGTGTCGTCCCAATCGACGGATGGTCTCTACCCCACTTCAGAACTCTGGACCGTCGGACGCTCGTCTCTGGGGTGGCGCCAGTGTGTCGCCTCCATCCGCGGATCGACCACCGGACAGGGGGAACGGGCGGAGCGTTCCTGCCAGTATGATGTCTGCCAGAGGGATCAGCTCCAGACTCAGGCTGCGGTTTGCTCGATGTGTTGGTTTTTGTGGGGCGCCTTGTGGGCGCCCAACGAAGTGGGCCGCAGCGGATCCAACGAGGTCCCCCCGTGATGAGGTCGCGAGAATTGGGTCCCTCCAAACCCCATCGGTTCGGTCGCCTTCGACTCCTCATGACCCCTCCATCCATCAACTCCAAATCGAGGCCAAGAAGGAGTTGGATCGTTTGGAAGGACTTGAGTAGTTTAAAGGTGTTCTCCAAGGCCGAAAGTGTCCATCTGCCCCCCTCTGCCGACGTCTTGGAGTTCGCTTGGTGTCCACTTCGCCCATTTCAAGGCCGCCCTTGAAGTGGCCCGCGGGGTGTCGTTTGGAGGAACTTGCTTCATTCTTTTGCCTCCCCAACAACCGGCGTTCATCCCAGTGGCCTTGCATTAATAGAAGGGAGACCCAAGAGTGTGCACGGCCAATAGGATCCTGCCAGGTACCTGGCACTCCTCCCCCTCCTCCCCGCTTCGACCGAAAAAGATCACTGCTGTTGACCACCCCTTCTCCCTCCTCCCCCCTTCGAATCGTCCCGACATCATGAGGCCAGGATCCCTGCGAGAAGCGTCTCCGTGACGTGGCCGCCTGGATGGAAGCGTCTCCGTCGGGCGCAGGGCGCAGCATGGCGCTTTTGCGCAGCGATGGACCACGAGTCGAGCGGAAGATCCCGTGTCTCGTGAGGTGTTTGGTCTTTAAGTCATGCTGGATTCAAGGCGGGGCCTTTCATACTGATCCAAGCTATAGTGCACTTTTTTGGTGCACAAGAAGAGATGGCTGGTGCGTGATTGCTGATGTTAGCTACAGATTTCGCTTAGTCCATGGATTCATGTTCAAGTTGATTCTGGGGTGTAGGAGTATGTGTCATGTTCTTCTTTCTTCAGCACTCGACGTTTGTTGTTTTTCGTTCGTGGGCAGCCATTCACACTCGAGCCTTCCCAACACTCCTGCCCAGTTCGTCAATTTCGACTCGACCTAATTCGCGACCTCCATCTTTCTTTAGTCAACCAAACAGGTGGTTTTCCACTTCGATGGGTGTTTTCACTTGTTGTAGCCCTTTTTGATACGGAGCGGTTCAGTTCCTGAAGCCTCACACAGCGTGGTGCGGTGCGGTGCCATTCGTGTTTGCCTACAAGACGGATCCAGTTCTAAGCTGACACCACCGAAAATAAGGAGGCGGTTTACTTACTGTTCTGTCACTTTAGCAGCTTTGGAACTTTGGAGCATGGCAGGGACCTGTTTCCATCCCAGCTTCACCGGCAAGATTTGTCTATCAAACCCCAGTCTTCCAACCCATATCCTCTTGTGAGGGCAACCCTCACATAGGCCTGTCAGCAACTGGTTTCTTTTCGAAGCAGTTACAAAGAGAAAGGAGAGATCTAAAAGAAACCCAAAAAAGAACAGCAGAAAGGCAACCAGGCCAATCCCATCCAAAAACGAACTCACTTTCCGGTACTACCCTTGTGCTACAGAATGCTACAGACGTGTTGTTTAACTCTACACGTCTGTGGTCGCCCTCCAGCCAGCCGGCTGCCCAAGTCCGCTTCCTGTCGGAGGCGCCGCCGAAAAGCACGGCGAGCACCGACGTCGACGCTCGACTCACACAGCCCGTGGACTGGGCCGAGCTGCGACGGCTGCGACAGGCGCGGGCGATGTTTGGGTGGGGAGGAGGAGGATTCGCTGGAGTTGCTTGTGTTTCATGTGTTGTTTGTGGGTGGGTCAAAGTCCGGCCCGGTTTCGGGCGCTCGCCTGTTCAGCATGGGCGCTGCGCCGGCTTTACGCGGCACGAAGTGCGCAAGTGTTTCAGTGAAAGTGTTCGTGGGTACCGGGTTTGGTATGTTCATCGTTGGTGGAGTGCCTGCCAATCCGGTGGGGGAAGTTATCGCTCCCAAGTCCGATGGGCAGCGATTCGACGTCCTGGGACCGGTCCCTTTGTCTGAGAAACATGACTCCTTGCGATCGATACAGGTGTGCAAGGGGGCTCACTCTGGAAGACTAACATGGAACCTGAAAACCCCTGGTTGGTAGAGGAACATCGTCTTCCATGGGACGATTGTCAGGGTCTATGTTAGTTTTCGGGAGTGTAAGCCAAGGTCCTGGGCCCGCTGTCTATCGATACCCAGTTGCTGATGACTGATGACTGAAAAGCAACATCGATGTGTACTCAATGTGGGTGTGAGGTAGAATAGACAGTAGAATAGACCAGTCTGCACATGCTACTTGATGCTACAGTGCCAAGTGTCCTCTTTTGAGTTACTGATAGCGATGGCCTCCAACCTACTAGCGATGGCCTTCAACCTGCTCGCGATGGCCTCCAACCTGCTCGCGATGGCCTCGAACCTACTAGCGATGGCCTCCAACCTATAGTAGGGGTTCTTCTCACTCTATGATTCCCAATGACCACGCCATTCGGAGGCCTCCGCGGCCGCACCGGTGGCCGTTTGGCTGGGCCACGCGTCGGTGCTGGGATTCTACGGTGAGACGACGGTGCTTTTCGACCCCGTCTTCTCAGAGAGGTGGGCGAACCAGCGGACGACAGAGGTACTACCGGTTTAGGCTTGGAAGATGTATACACATTATATAAGACAATATGATAATTAATATAGTATAGTAGATAAATGTAATCATACAATATCATACAATACTACAATATAAACTAATAATGTATAGTCTATAATACAAGATATACACATGTGAACATACATGGAACAAAGACTGTGTGATTCTGTGCTGTTTATCTTTATCCCAGACCCCAGAGCTAGTCTTGGGCTAGCCACCTCTGGGCTCGCGGGCATGGAGTGTCGGGTTATGGATCGCGGCTTGGATGGGGAGACTTAGATTGAAGGCATTGAAGGAAATCGCAATGATTTGGAGTGTATCAATGCATCAATGGTCTTTACTGTTTTGACTTACAAAGGTTTCCATGCTTTTGTTTGTGTGAACGGCCTGTTGTCCGCGATGAATTTCTTCGAGCCGTCAGATCAAAGCTGATGCGCCATTCTGATGGTGATGAACATTGAGAAACTTTACGCTTGCATGTTCCTGTTTGCCTCTCCTTTCCATGAAGATCCCACTCGCGCTCAAGTGGTTCCACCGCATTCTATGACCCTAACATTTGAGCCAACAAGAGCGTTTTTGTTGCTTCTGTGCTTCTCCAGGTCCTCGCCCTTCTCTTTCGTGGGGCCCAAGCGCTATACGCCCTCGGTGCTGCGCCGCGATCTCAGCGACTGGCCCGAGGACTTGGCGCCCCACGTCGTCGCGCGGCTCGGCACAGGGGAACGAGTCCCCAGGTCTGAGGAGGTCGAGATCAGACGATTCCGTTGAGATCTCTTCTACGTCAGGATCGAATGAACGATCAGCCCGTTTCTACAGGAGTTGAACAATGTGTTTTGACCACAACAGCCCTGCAGAAAACTCCCAAGTGGTAAGGGTGCTGCAGTAAGTCGAATCACCTTGAACCGTATCGCTTGGATATGTTCAGACTAGTCAGTTGGTGATTTTGTAGCACCTGCCAGCTTTGTACAAGGGCTTTGACTGCTTGCAAAGACTGCGATTGCGAACTCCCAAGGATTTCACATGCGCATTACGACCACTTGGACGAAGAGACTGTGAGGCCAGGGTCTTGTTGCACACTGCCCAGACGGCATCCTTCTTTTTTGTATGAATTGGTGGGTGACAGGTGTGACAAAGCCTCCACACCGGAAGTCGAATCAACCGCTCCGTTTGAATTAAATGTCCGTCTCCCACACCCATATTCTCCAATCATCAGTGTATGTGCTGTTTTGCTACTAGGAGTTTCTTGCTACTAGTAGCGATGGCTACTATAGTAGCTTCTGGTTGAAGTAATAATTGTGTGTGTTGTTTTGCTTGGAGCCTCACCACGGACAGCTCCCTCGAGCGATACGCCCCAGAACATTGACCGCGACAGGCGCTTGGCGATACGCTTCCCAAAGGTCCAGTGGCTGGCGCCCCTCGGGCTGGGCGAGTGGTTTCAGCGGCGGAAGATCGAGGTCACTGAGATGGACTGGTGGCAGGCGTGGATGGTAGGTCGACAGGGTGGCGTATAGGATGGGTATAGGTGTGTCGGCGGAGGTGTGCCATGTTCGGGAGAACGGGCGCCACAACGGTGAAAATGACCCTGGTTCACCAGCAAAAAGGAAGGGAAGAGACCACGGGGGGAAGGTCAACCTCCGACGCATGAGGGGTCTGGATTTTCACCCACAGCCATGTGAGAGAGGGAATGGTTAGGACTTCCATGCATCTTGTGAGGATGATTCAGTTCCTCTGCATGGAACTGCTGCTGTTTGGGTTGTAGAAGCGACATGCTGCCTGAAGATGGGTCGCCCGAAAAGCTGCAGATTGTGGGCATTTCTGGCCAAATGGTTTTGCAGCTTCATGGGGAGGCATTGCAAGCAATTCGTGACAGCAACCAGCCTGTGACGTGCCAAGCAGAACTTCAAAAGATTATATATATCATATTCCGCCTCAATGAATGTCAGCACGGTTCGATTTTAAAACTTGGTTTGGGAGTAGCATTTTTGCGTTTGTTCGAAGCCAAAAACTTTCCAAGTCAGGTGAAGGCATTGAAATGCTTGCTTGCGGAACAACTTGGTTTCTCCCGATTTCAGCAGAGACTCGTGCGGGAAAGTCTCGAGCTACCTGATGACGCTCCCCTGATACCACCATTGACTTTGCACTTGGTCATCTTCAACTTTCAACCCCCATGTCGGGCCAGAGACAACGCATTCCTGGATGCATGTATAAACAATCAGGTTCTGCAGGTGGAAGAGATTCTCCAATCCCCACAGGATCCAGACACAAGAGATGCAGAATGCGCAAGCAACCCGACAGCCTTGCATGCAGCATCAAAAAAGGGTCATGTAGAGGTGGTTCGATTGCTGCTGGACGCTAAAGCTGACAAAGATGCAACAGATTGCATGTGCAGAACGGCCTTGCATTGGGCAGCTGTGAACTATAACTTGCTGGTTGTGCAATTGCTAGTGGAGGCTGGGGCTGACAAAGATGCTAGAGATGATAAAGTTTGCAGAACGGCCTTGCATTGGGCAGCCGCGAAGGGTCACTTGCTGGTTGTGCAATTGCTAGTGGAGGCTGGGGCTGACAAAGACTCTAGGGACAAAGAGGGCAAAACGGCTTTGCATTGGGCCGCTGAGAAGGGTTACTTGGAAGTGGTGCGATTGTTGCTGGAAGCTGGGGCTGACAAAGACGCTTCTGATGCAGGTGGCGCAACTGCCTTGCATTTTGCAGCTGGAAACGGCCGCGAATTGGTTGTTCGTATGTTGCTGGAGAGTGGTGCGGACAAGAGTGCCACGGATGAAGAAGGCCTAACAGCCTTGCACTGGGCAATTGACGATGATAACATGGACATGCAAGTGGTGCAATTGTTGCTGTAGAGCGGTGGGAGGTGTGCTGCCCAAAGATGGCAGATTGAGAGGGACAGCTGCAAGTAGACGCTTGAAAGTGATGCAATCGATGAGAGATGGTGAGAAGATTGATACATACTTCTGCTCAAAGATGAAAAACTCGACCCTGCAATTTCTCACTTGCTTGAACCAAACACTCCATCCATTGACCCCGACTTCAACCACCCCATGTAGCGCGCTTCTTGTTTGCTATGCGTCTCATGGAACGTTGACGTTCCAAACCAGACCGGGAGTGACGTCAGTCCAGGGCGGTCGGCTTCGGCGTCTGGAAGGTTCCAGTGCTTCGATGTCCAACCCTTTGGGCGGTCGGTGATCCCGCAGAAAGAAAGGCGCCAAGAAAGTTCTTCAAGCTTTACTTGGGATGAGTCCGGGATGATCGATCAACATTGATCATATGTTTGGGGAATGGGGATGAGACCACCGTACCGTTTCCAGGTATCGCCAGTCACGCATCGCAGGAAGAGACCACGCATCCCATGGTTCACATCGGTGGCCTATTGGCGCTCGTCGCGCCCCAAAAAAAAACCTGTTTTTCGACGCGAAGAGGCGTCAGTTGGTTCAATGGATTTTTTAAGGAAGACTTGGTGGACCAGTGCTCAGACTGGTCTATGTTTTTTGGTATGTTGAAATGCAGGGTTGAAATGGAGGAGATCTCCCGATGCTTTTGTCGTCTCTCCAAACTGATAGTTTCCTCCATGTGTGTGTGTGGGTTGTTTCTTTTTTTCCGGTTCATGCGGTCTGCACACCCAACCAATGATTTCTGTAAGTTTCTGTCACTTTCTGTTTGGTTTTGCCAAGAGAGGTGCAATTTGACCCACGAAGCACTCAGGGTAACTCTTTTCTGACAAAACGGAGTGGCCGGGTATTTGTCATGTTTGAAAAAGAATCTCTAGAGAATGACAAATAGGACATATATATAGAGAGAGATACAGAATAATATATATATATATATATATGTCCTATATAAAGTTTGTCATGTTTGAATACTAATATTTGTACCTATAGGACATATATAGTGACATATATATATATATATACTTGAACGAATGACAGACTTTGACGGGTGTATCCCATACCACCTCCAACAAAAAAACATCAGGCACGGATCTGCTGTCCGCTTTTACGCCTCTTTTCGCTTCCCGCTGGAGGAATTCCCCCTCGATCGCGAGAAGCAGCTCACGATCCTGGCTCTACCGGCGCAACATTGGGCCAATCGTTGGCCTTGGGACCGTAACTGCAGTCTTTGGTGTGGCGCCTTGGAAGTGACACACAAATTCTGGGAGGTTGGTGCAAGATACAGATACCTGGACCCGACTGGACCCTGAAGAGATGCTGTCTTTTGTTCCTCACGGGAAAGCATGACGCAGAAACATGTAGCAAGTGCGCGATAGAACACATGACACCAAATTAAAGGGCAGAAGTTACAAAAAATGAACACAAACATCGACACCGAAGTTGGTTGGTTGTTGTCTTAAGCTTCGCCTGAATTTTGCTCCACCCGAAAAATATACGTCTTTTGCGGGGTCCAGGGTATGGATCTCATGAATGGTGTCTGGAACCTTCTAAGATGTTATGCTCCCTTGTTCTTTTGTCTGCCAGACTCCTTTAATTATTCTAGAAGTTTAGCATCAAGCTGGAAATAAAAAGCAACAAAAAAGCAATCACAAAATGCAACCAGAAAAAAACACAAGATGAAGCCCACGAACCCGAATGCAAACACGTTCAAAAAGCTACATATGTCCAAATGACACTCTTGTAGGACACTCTTGTGGGACACTCTTGTGGGTCACTCTTGTAGGAAACTCTTGTGGGACACTCTTACGGGACACTCTTGTGGGACACTCTTGTGGGACACACTCTTGTGGGACACTGTTGCGGGACATTCTTGTAGGAAACTCTTGTGGGACACTCTTACGGGACACTCTTGTGGGACACTCTTGTAGGACACTCTTGTGGGATACTCTTGTAGGGCACCTCTCGTGGGACACTCTTGTGGGACACTCTTATAGGACACTCTTGTGGGACACTCTTGTGCGACAGGGACACTCTTGTAGGACACTCTTGTGGCACACTCTTGTAGGACACTCTTGTGGGACACTCTTACGGGACACTCTTGTTGCACACTCTTGTAGGACACTCTTGTGGGTCACTCTTATGGGACACTCTTGTCGGACACTCTTGTGGGACACACTTGTGGGACACTCTTGTGGGACACTCTTGTGGGACACTCATACGGGACACTCTTGCGGGACACTCTTGTAGGACACTCTTTTGGGACATGCGGGACACTCTTGTGGGACACTCTTGTGGGACACTTGTAGGACACTCTTGTGGGATACTCTTGTAGGACACTCTTGTGGGACACTCTTGTAGGACACTCTTGTGGGACACTCCTGTAGGGCACACTCTTCGTACGAGACTTCCTCCAAAAGTCACGCTGCGAGGCTGCAAGACGAGCGTTTCGTACGAGACTTCCTCCAAAAGTCACGCGTCAAGTCTCAAAAACGAGCGTTTCGTACGAGAGTCACTCCAAAAGTCACACGTCAAGTCTCCAAAACGAGCGTTTCGTACGAGACTTCCTCCAAAAGTCACATTTCAAGTCCCCAAAACGAGCGTTTCGTACGAGACTTCCTCAAAAACTCACATGTCAAAGTCTGCAAAAAGGAACGTTTCGCACGAGACTTCCTCCAAAAGTCCAGCGGAAACACCCGTCGGACACACACATCACGCAGCCCTGCCAAGCAGTTTCGCGATTCCAGCCCCTCCAAACGACACCCGCTCACACGCCAATCCCAATGTGACAGCGACATTCACCTCTACCACAACTCACAACCTCCCGATTCCCTGCGCCTGCCACGAATCTTTCCGCGTCCACACGTCTAAGGCGCACAAAGTACTGCGCCTGCCACGAAATGTCACCTCCGTCACACCTCGCAACCTCACGATTCCCTGCGCCTGCCACGAGAATCGCACTTCCACACCTCAAAAGCCACACCAAGTACTGTGCCTGCCACGAAAAGTGACAATATCATCTCATGTGAGCTTCAACAAAATTTGCACCACACCACACGTTTGCAATGATTTCGACCCGTTCTGGGCACACTCCCATCCACCAAAATCGGCATTTCAGCTGAGACTTGTCACGAAAACAGAGCTTCGATGCCACACCCTGCAACGCAAATCCCAATGGCACGGCCACATCCAACACCCCAAAAACACGACTCTCCAAACGCTAATCCCAATGGAACTGCGGAGCAATCTGCCGATCTCACAAAACGCTGCGCCTGTGCAGCGGAACGCATCACGTTTCTTGCGCCACATCTCCTTTTCATGCAAATCACAATGGAATAGCGGCGCACACTGACACGTGACACATCCATGAAAAGTCACTTGCAAAAGCTTCCCCCAATGACAGCGCCTTAGCGTCCTACTGCGGACGGTTGCGAACGGTTGCGAACGGTTGCGGACGGTTGCGAACATAGAAGCAACGGGTCGCGAACAAGGCTCTACCCCCAGGCCCCCAAGAGTTAAACGAGAACCCTTCGCTACGCATTCGGGAAAAAACACAAAAGCAAGAAACATGCAACAAAAAGAAAAAACAATCACAACTTGCACCCAGAAAAACAAAAGCAATCATAAAACCAAAAATCAAGCAAACAAAACTGCAAGCAAAAATGGAGCAACTCAGCCGGGCTTTCTGGCGCGCTTTCTGGCGCGCTTTTGAGGGAGGGTCCACTTTCTGGCGCACTTTTGGTCGCTGTTTTCCTCTTTTTGTTTCCGGCGCCAGGTAAAAGGTCGCACTTTTGGTCGCTTGTTTTTCGCTTTTTGTTCGCTCTTTTTTTGCGAATGTTTTTGGACAAAAACGCAAAAATAGAGCGGAAAAAAAAAAAAAAACGAAAAAAACGACCAAAAGTGCGACATTTTACCCGGCACCGGAAAAAATTGAAACAACAAGAAACCAAAAGTGCGACTTCTGACCCGGTGCCGGAAAAAAGAGCGACCACAAGTGCGAAAGTTGACCCGGCACCAGAAAAGACCCTTGTCCAGTACTAACCCTACCTGGCCCTCCCAAACTACCCTCTGTGTTTTGCTTGTTCTTTTTTGGTTGCATGTGTTTTTGTGTTGTTTGCTTTCTTGGTTGCTCTTTGTTTTGCTTGTGTCTTTTTGGTTGCACTTTTTTTTGCTTTCTTGGTTGCTCTTTGTTTTGCTTGTGCTTTGTTGGTTTGTTTTGTTTCATGTTTTCAAGTTTGATGATTTCTAGAAAAGGCCACCTCCGGTGGACACGGCCTGTTTCTTTCTCCTCAATCAGGACCCCTTCTGACAAGATCTCAGCTTTCCGCAAGGCTATGGACTAGTCCATGGTGCACCTCATGAAGCGGCGGAGCCTTGCCAGCAAGTCGGGAGTCGACAACGGGAGTCGCGTGACGTTTACTCAAGGGAGTCGGCAGATCAAAAGAATGCAAGATGAAGCATATCAGAATTAGCTACAATTCAATCAAGAGGCAATCATCGGGTATTACATTGACATTCTCGCTATCTGTGACATTCCAGCCGCTAGCTTTCATCATGTCGTCTTTGTCCTCCACATGTTTTCTACCCCAAAACACACCCTAAAAAGCCACTTCGAGGGTCGACATTCTTCAACCCCAAATCAAATGGATGTTCACAGTTCAGTGTTCACCGGTTTTTGGTTCGAGTGTGAAACAGCTATAATCAGTTATATATATACCCTAGGGCTCCAATACCCTTACCTCCGTTTTGAAGATGGGACTGGGGATGCTTGGGGAGGGTCTAGAGGGTCTTGTCATACCTTGTACTTGGAGCCCTAGGGATATATACCGACATGCATATAGATATATCATATATATATATATGGAACAGTTATGAAGCAGTTTTGTCCGCCTGGGACGCTCGCCGCCCTGGGACAGATCTAGCACTATTCTGGGATGGAAGCCCTTCTGAACAGATCCGTCCACTGTATCTAGTCACCACTAGATTCTCAAACCGAATTTGTCTCAATCTTCATTCAACCCCCTACATCATGCGCATAGCATGTATCCGTTCTACCCTGGCCAACCCGTCACCCCGCGAAACCCAAAGAAAAGACGTGGAAGCAGAGCTGCAGGTGCCGAAACACCACGAAGAACAAAGGTGCCGAACCTTCCTGCGCGCTCCGCAGGTGCGCGACATGCCCTTGTGCTTCCTGGGCGATACCGGCTATTGTCCCGTCTTCCGACTTCTGGGGTCTCTGTTTCGCATCCAACTGGCCGCCGTGCCCATAGGCGGACGGGTGGAGGTGTTGAACAGGATTGGGAGGTGGCACGATTTTCGGGTAGGCACAAGAAGGTATGTTGGAGCAGGATTCACTGTTCGATTATATATATATATATATATGCGTTCAACAACTAGGGAGGTGAAGGTTGATTTCTGTCGCTGTACTGTCAATCAGGTGCTGCTGCGTGATTGATGAGCACAAGGAAACAAAACCGTTTTGTTTCTATTTTGAAAACCAGCTTTGTACCCCTTCCTTTCAGTTGGAAACCACAACCAAGATGACTTCCAGGGAGCATTGACTCAAGTCTGCTGGCGCTACAATTTGGAATCGAAATCAGAAACTTGTGTCGCATCCCAGTGAACATGCCCCTTTGACCAAGTGCTATCAGCTGCTGTATGACGCAGCTGGATTGCGAAGTAGCATGCATATTGAAACCGCCAAAGGCCCCAAAGGTCTCAAAGGCCATAAGACCCACAAAGAGAGAGAGAGAGAGGGAGGGAGGGAGGGAGAGAGAGATATAAAATGGAATGCTTCGTTCACTCCCTGATTTTCAGGCTGACCCCCCACCAAGCAAAGAAGGACCTCCGCGACAGGCTTTCGGATTGAGTTCCATAAACTCTCAAACATTCTGAAAGTCCAAAGCCGGTTCTGCAGGCGCCTACCATCCCAGATGGTTCATGTCGCCCTCCCATTGCGACCCCTATGAAGCTGTGCAGATTGTGGAGGAGAAACAAGTCCTCCGATCCTCAGAGCATGTCGACCGATCCTCAGATCCCCAGAGCACCCGGAATCAGAAGGGTCTAAAACCCCAAAGGCCTTGGCCTTTGCCGTGAAAGGATTTCGGTGGGAAGAGGGGGGGGAAACTCTGAGTCATTCTGAGTCTTTCATCGTTTGCACCTGCTGATCATGGAACTCGGAACTGCTCCTGGCAGAACTTCCTGAACTTCCTCCGGGTCTCGTCCTTCGTGGGGCGGCTGGATGTGTAGACCAGAAAGTGCACGCAAGTGTAAGCGGTAAAATGTGGAAGCTTAGTACTACAACAGAGATGCTCTAGGAATTAGTTTTTTTGCGAAGATCCAGTTACAAAAATTCCGGTTGGAAGATGTCTCCAGTGATCTTGTGCTTGTTGTCCATCTTCCATTTCAGCTCATTGATCCTGACCTTCGCCTCGTTCGGCCGCCGCTTCCCTTCCGCCTCGCTTTCCTCCAGGACCTGAAGTCCCAGGCAGCCTTGGCGATTCACTGGGGTCTCCTGGCCACCGGAAACCGGAGACAAATCGGACCGAACAGCGGCTCGTGCTTCCGGAGCCGGGGCGAAGCTCCGCTGGGTTTGGCTCGTTCGCAAACAATGGGGAAATCATCGAGGGGGCTTGAGCTAATGGGAAGCTCGCGACACTCACGACGACGACTGTTCCGCACCACGCCGTCCAGACTCTTCTCCTCGGCCCCCGGACGCGACACCACGTGGTCGCGCTGCGAGGGAGCGACTGATTCCGGATGTGGGTTAGTTGATCACTACCAGTTGCTTCCGTTCAGGGTCACCTGGCTGGATATCTCCACACTACGTAAACAGGTCTCCAGACAGGGCACCCCGACAGGAAGCGTTAGGTAAGATGGAGATAGATGGAGTGGGGGAAAACCATGGTTCAGCATGCAATGGGGGGTCTTGGGATGCGTTTGGGATCTCCAAATGCCCAGGCTCATCCCTTAAATGCTGCTCCCCCCCCTACACCACTGGTGTTATCCGCGTTTCATCCGAAAATCGTTCTGGTCAACTCGCATGGTGTCCTTGTCATAGACCTGCAGGCACTTTTCCACTCACCGCAGAGCCCTACACTCAGCAGCTGGCGGAGCTGCGCGACGCGCGTCAGCGCGCCCAAGCGCTGGGCCAAAGCGCCCAGCTGCGGGCGCTTCCCGTGGGAGGCGGAGGGGAAGGTGGCGGTGGCCAGGGGTAGCTTGAAAGTTGGGTGGAAACAACTGGTAAGAATCAATGAAGGAATCAAGCCAGTCTCTTCTTGATTTGCGCAGATGTTCACACAAGGTTCTAGTCTTCGATTTTCGGATTTGCTTTGGCACACAAGTTTGTTGAGTATCACGGTATCCAGGCGGGAGGTCTCCTCTCCAGGCCAACCGATTCATGATTCGATCGTCGATCGTCAGGCCTCTTCGGTCGAGTCACGTGTGCGTCTCCACGGATCTCCAGGGTAGTTGTATTCAATATGTCAATATGGTTGTTCACCATGGAGAACTGGGTCTTTCGCCCACATCACTGCTGCTGAAATGATGACCTGATGTTCATGAGAGAAACCCAGATGAACTTGACAATCAGGGGGGGCACATAGGGGATGTTAGATTGGCAATGGAGTTGGCTAAGGGGACAGATTGCAATGCCAACTGTCGCAGAATCCCATATATAACTACCGTTTATAGAATCCTCTTTAGAATGCTAAAAGGATTCCATTCCAAACTCAACCCCTTCTCTTAGATGCTCCGGTTCTTCATCAACATATGAGCTTGTCTTTTTTTAAGGTGTCCAGTTTATGTAGGACTGGGATGTTCGACTTAGGCGAAGCATACCCCGAAGCATACCCCCGAAGCATACCCTGAAGCATACCCTCTGGAAATGCTACTACTTTAGTCTTCACACTGCGCGAAGCATACCCCGAAGCATACCCCCGAAGCATACCTCCGAAGCATACCCCATAGTCAAACATCCCGGCCCGGGAACCTTAAAAAAATACAAACCCATATATCAACCTCATCCCTTGTAATCCCATGTGGGGAGAATCTCAGATTCAACCCATTTTGCGTGAAGAGGACGAACAAAATGGAACCTCCACTGGTGGAAGATCCGGAGCAACACCAACCAGGCACCTTTCGTTGGATTCAGCCCGATGGCGGACACGGCGGAAACCCCAGTGGAAACCCCTTGTCGTCCCGCGTGCCGGTCGCCCAAACGGTTCACGTCCCATCTGACTCCTGAAACGTGCACAGACGCCCCGGTCGCCCCCCAGATGAACTGGTCTCGCTGGCAGGGCACATGTTACTGGACAGCAACGGTGCCGACCTGGCAGATCTCCTGGCGCCGAGCCATGGCGGGATGGAGCCATTCGCTGTGGAAATGGTACTCACATTGCTCTTCAGCGCCAGTCTTTTCAGCGAAGAAAAAGTGAGACAGTGAGAAGATGTGTGAAGGGTTGATTCCAGGGTTGATGATTTTATTCTAGAGTTGTGTTCGGTTGTGTTCGTTTGATGATGTTCGATCTTCAATCCTAGAGATCTCTCGAAGCTAGTGAAGCAGGACAAGAAATGGAGTGAGATGCTCCACTATGACTTGAGCTATAGATAGGAGAAGTATAAGTACGCCTGAATTTTGTGGATGCGTTTGGCTTTTGAGTCTTTTGACCACAGGGTCTTTGATCGCCTGGTCAAGTCGGACGATGTGGACGTATTGAAATTGAACAGTGATGAAAGCACCAGCAAAACAAGCCTTGGCCATATATCCAAGAAGCAGATAGACACAACGCACAGAAGTTCTGTCTTTCACTTGCAGACATTTCAGATATCCAACCAATTTTCGTCCCGCTTTTAGGACAGAAACAGAAACAGAGCCGGTTGTCCTGATTGGCAGTGTGATGTTGAAACATTGCCCAGGTGTGTCACCCCAGTACTTTTTGGTCAATATCGACATGAACAGCGAAACAGACATATAGGTTGGGTCTATCCTATTACCTGTAACAGTCAGTAAACAGTTGTCACTATTTCACAGAAAGGCCTGGAACCCTAACCATCATCATCCACTGAAATCTGGTATTTGGGGATAGACCCAACATATAGAAAATGGTTTAAACATGGTCTTCAGGAGCTTCATTGTTCCATGTCGGCCAGTAGATACACTAGTGGTGTATGTAAATCAAGGCCTTAACTGTTCACCGGACATCAGGACGGTTTGGGTGAAAGAAATCGATTCAGACAAATGTGTAACAGTGACATTTGGATAGCCAGACACTCCTGGAGTATGCTATATTTACCGATCAGTTGGGGTAGTTTTGGGGCTCAATGTAGGCATGTATGGCATACATGGAGTGTTTGGGATATGCATTTGTGTCTTTCCATATCTTTCAGTGAGACATCGGTGTTTGGACTGCCAGCCCACTCCGAAGAGCCGAGGAATGAGCTGCGCGCGTGAGCTGCGCGGGGTCTGTGTGGCAGGAAAAGAGCTCGGCAGCAGAACCACGCGCGTTGGGTTCAAGCAGGTGAGGTTTTGGGAGAAGTCAAAACTGGGAGTCTTCGTCGCCAAGTTCGCCAAGCTAGGCCCAACTCCAGGCTCTTCAGTGCTCCTTCATCCCTGCATAGATCATCCAATGTTCCTTACCAGTGCCGAGCATAGCTAGCTTTCCGTGCCTCAAAGGGTAGTATGTTGCCTGGCCAATCTCCTCACTTGCCCAGTACACAGTATTCATATTCAAAAGATACGTAATTACTATAAAAGGGTTTTCCACAAGAAACAGGTCGTCCCCAACTCAGGTACTCCGCTGGTATCATTTCTGCACAAAGAAGAGTTGGTGGAATTTGGACCGCAAGTCACATCGTTGGATGGTGACCGTCACCATCTTTGGGAACGTTTGGGAATCCCATCGACACACCACGGGGGGTTCCACATCAGCAACGCGGCTGTTCTGCAAGTTTTGCAGTACGACTGTCCTGGTGGAAAAAAAACTGTGCCACGGCGCACCAGACATACATGGACATGCATGGACTTACGAAAACGTCTCTGTCAGCAAGCAGGAAACCAGATTTTCGGAGGTCAATTGACTGGCAGAATTCCTTCACTTGCTTACAAAGGAATATCCTGCAAAAAATCACCTGCTGTTGACTTAGGCCAATGATATTCAGCTGCTGTTTTTACTAAAAAGGGGAGCACCCCCCCGGTCACGGCTCCGTCTTCAACGAGGCGCGGCCGGACATCAAGATCATCCTCTCAGAGCCCAAGGCGCGCGCCGAAAGGGGACGAAGGGCTCGGTCGGCACCGGTACTCCGAGGGACGAAGGAGGCGGTAGGGGACGAGGCTCGGAGCACTGATGATGTGAGGAGCGCTTTTGGATGGACAGAGAGAAAGGAAGTGGAAGCCACAGGCTGTGACTTCATGCGTGGAGGCCCGAATGAGAAATAGAGGACGTGGCCCCCCCAAAAAAAAGAACATTAGCATGAAGTGGAAGTGGAAGTCGGGAGGAAAAATCAAGAATTGCATGGCTACCACGACTTCCACTACTTGTACCACTTCCACTACCACATCCCCTGTTGTAGGAAGTGAAGTGTATACGGCAAAATCGGGATGTTTCTTGGCTACCACAGGGTGGCTACCGGGCGACGTCCCGACGTCCCGACAGGTCGAACTCGACCGTCCTCCGGTCCACGCCGTGCGGTGCGCGGTTGGTTGCGTGGTTGGTGTTTTTCTTGTTTGGGGGGTGGCAAGAAGTGTGCGTTTATATGTTGGATGCTGGGGGTTTTGTTTGACTCATCAAGTTGGGCACAGCTCCATGTTTGGGGCATTCACTCAATATGGAGCTGGTCTTTGCTTCCTCTTACCTGTGGATTTACAAGAGATGTTTGACCCATGCCTTTGCTTTAGTACATGTAGATATGTACCAATAAATATGGAACATTAACCATCAATTGTCAAAAAAATGGTTTTACAAATGTTGCTATTGATTGTTATTCAAAAGGAGCCAAGAGGAAGCAGCTAATGATCAGGAACGAACTTGCTTGGGATAACCCTCATGTTGAGTTCGTGGAACATGTTCGCTTTAGAGATCAAGTGGAGCGTTCTTACGAACATACAAAAAAAAGCGCTCTTGACATGACAAGACATTCGTTCCAACACTCCATGGGACTGCCAGTCCGCCTTCCAAACGGCCAGGGGTGCTAGGGGGGTCCATGGGGCGGCAGTCCTATCGTTCTGTCCTTCTGCCGTCACGTGTGACATCCATGATGCCGTCGATCACGTTTGGGTCCGGTGGACCGAGGATTGATAAATAGAGGGGAGACCCCCCAACAGGTACAACCAACAGGTACATGGATGTACTACATGGTACCTAGCACTGGCTCTACGATGTTCCATTACGGGACATCATCACTGGGAGTTTCTTCGTTTCAACGCATTGGCTACTCCTTTGGTGTCCGGTTTGCGAAGGGGGCGCTCCTCAGGTTGAGCATCTGGTGTGCTGCGAGTCGCGAGCGTGCGTGTGCTGTTCGTTTCAACTGACGATCCGGTGGTTCCCAGAAAGCTCCCAGAAGTCCACTGAAAGCCCGTCGGAAGTCGGGAGCCATCACCCGGTCACCAGTCGTGCCATCGGTTCATGGGCACCAGTCGCGGCGCTCATCGGGTGCAGGTGAAAGCCACAGGGTGCTGGCACGAGAGTAAATGGCACAAGGACCCCCCAAGTTCGGGGGTTTATCTGGACCCATCGAGTCTAAGACAATGCAAGAGCTCAAATTCAGATGTCATCTACCCTCTGACGAACACATCACATGGAAGTGGAGTTCGCCACCTGTTTGTAGAGGAAAATGGTCATCCCAGTGGCCATTTTCCATGTTGAGTCGGAGTGACCCCTGAATCACCATCGATTCGCCGCGTTGTTTTGCCCCGGCCAAGACACTGGTCTCAGACACCGGCCACGCATCAGGGCGCCGCACTCTTGACCAGTGGCATCAAGCAGGACGGCCGGGAGGGTGATGTTTCCGAAGAAAGGGCCGCCCGATGAGTTCTGAAAAGAGAGTCTTAAATGGAACGTGAACAGGTAATTGTAGACTCTTGATGAATAAACCCTCCCATTTGAAAGTCCTTTTTAAACTGGGGGTGAAATATCATCAAGAGTCTACATTACCCTGGTCGTGCCTTCTCAAGTCTGAACCTTCTTCATTGGTCTGAGGGTTTTGGAAGGGTGAAAGCCGGGCAGAAGCGAGATCAGAGTCCGCAGGACCCGGCAGAACTGCCGGGTTCGGACCTTCTGAGAAGGGACAGGGTAAGGTGTAGACCATTGATTAATATACCTACCACAAGCTACCCCATTGGAGTTGGAAAATCCTCTTCATATGGTGGGTGAAATATCATCAAGAGTCTACATGCCTGAGCCAGACAGCCAGACTACGGCGCTGAGTGTTTGTCTCTCATCAGGTTTGGTGGGCAGCCACAAGAGCGAAAACAACAAGTCAAGACCAGAAACGAAAATAGGGTCTAGGTGGGCCGCAAATCTTTCTGGTTTTGGGTTGCCCATGATGTGCACAGTTTGACCACACCCTTATTCGCCTTCCTCACACAGGTAGACGTTCCGCACGCATGTCCATGTCAGGATAAGACATACTTCGTAGATTAGTAGACATTGTGGGCCTCTCTTCCTGGTCTCGGAAGCACTGTGGACATTTCTGAGCTCGTGCACCATGGACCCATGGACCCCACCTTTCTCCGTCCGTTCCAGGCTCCGGCTTGGGACGGTCCGTGCTCGTCCCCTCCAACATGTCTGAACCGAACCCGGACGAGACGCCTGGGAGGTGTAGGTGTTTCTTTGGACTTTCATACACACCCCATGTCATGGTTTCTTCATGTTTCGCCTGTTTGCAGACCAGAAGCACCACGTTGGTCGTTCGCTCGCTGTCGTTCCGGTTGCTAATAGTAACAAGGGCATTACTACTAGTAGCGATGCCGCGATGCCCTTGTTACTACGTAGTAGCAATGCACCTGTTACTAGAAGTGCTTGGCAGGAGCGAAAGGAAGTGCTGGGGAAGTTTGGTCTGGAGCCTGGTGAGAATGTGAGTGTTTTCTTTAAGCACCACCCGAGTTATTGGGCGGTGATTGGATGGACATCTCACTCATGTGGAAGTGGAAAACCCTTGAAAAAACTGCTCTTCGTCAAGGAAAGTTGTCTATAAGTCTATAAACCACCCGAAGTGGGTGGTGCTGGTGTGTGGGAGTGTTAAAGGAGGGGTAGTGTGTAGGACAGGTGGCTGAAGATGTTGTTGGTGGTTTGGTTGGTGGTTTGGTGTGATTCTGTGGCATTCCCTGATCCCGATGTTGCTACGATTTGTGTGTCCCAACACCCCGGGCAACCGGTCACGAAGGTAGGGGTGGCGCCATTCTGCTGGACGTCATGCACAGGGATCTTTGAGTGGGGTGTTCCTCATGTTCAAACAGGATTTCATGTCCCATACACTCCGGACTGGCATATGCTCCATCCATTAACTTCCCAAAGCACCACCACCCCTGGCCCTTTTGAAGGCAGTCCGTACGGGTCGCGTCGGTGTCCGTCGTCTCCCTTTTCGGTTCTTCGGACGTCCGGTGCCACGCGGTCCACACGAACGGACCGTGAAAACGAACGGAACGGGCGTTCCCCCAATGTGGTGTTCAATCGGAGCAAAAGCCACAGGGGCACGATGGGCTTTCAACTGACTGGTGAAGATGGGAAGATGGGAATGGATCAGTACAGGGATCTGGGGTGGTGAACAGTCCCGAAAAGTCCCTACGAGTCGTACGAGTCTGAAAAACCAACATGCAGTCGTACCAGTTCCCATAGCCTTTCTGCCCCCATGCAACGTGTGTCCTTCTTTGAGTTTACACGTTCGGCGGACAGGTTTGGTTGGTGCCAGGGTCAGGTTCGGCAGCTGAGTGAGAAACATCGGTTCAGACGAGCAATGCAGTAGATGCTCGATTCTCGTGGGTTTTGAAGTGGCGGGATGGTAGATGTTTCATGATTTTCTCCAAGAAGCCTCATCGCTGGGTTTGAACATGTGCACACAGGGTTAGGCTTGATCAAATTAGTCGAGAATTCCCCCCAAAAATGCATGCTTGTCAGCATGTTTGCTCAATCCCTTTTGCCCGGAGACTTGGTGCGTCTGCCACCTGTGTGCCACGGCGGTGCGTCTGACGCCCTCAGGCGCTCCGGCCAAGGGGCATCCCGTCCGGTCGCCCGGACGTCTGGTGCCGGTGGGGTTTGGCGTCCGGCAGACTCTGCGAAGAACTGAGGCAGGTGTTTACAAGACCGGTCAAAAGAAAAGGTTCCTGGGTGTCCCAGAACCTGGTTCAGGTAGCCCCTAAGAACACAAACTCTTTGGGCGGTGTGACAATTGTTGTTGTTTTCATGTTCGATCCGCTTTCTGGGGTGAAAAATGCCTCAATCGTTTGCGAAGATTGGT